AAGTTTGCGTGGAAAGTTGTTAACGCAGTTTTCTGACCCTGTTTTTTGCGTAAGCAAGCTTGATAAATGAGGCCCCAGAGCTGTACAAGTCAGGATTGTGAAAGCTAGAATTACCTGCTTCAGCCAGAGTAATCACTAAAATCTCTTAAACACTGTAAGGGTATAAATGGAAAATATTTCAGTCCTGTGTCTGGTCTGTGTGTGATGTAAAGTCAGCATTTTCTTTAAGGACAAATAATGAATCAGTCCAAAACCACCATCTTTTATTTGAAGCATGCTGATTTGTTATTCTCTACTTCTGCTCTTTTATGGCTTCATTGAAGAAATATTTAGTGAATTTGAGTGTTCTCCCCGCTTTGTCCAACCACAGATTTTCATCTTAGATCGGAGGCTTAAAATTTGACCTCTTCATCTGAAGTTTTGTGTGTGCAAACATGACTGAAGCTGAAAGAAAAAGCCCAGAGTCGAGGGAATAAGGACACCATTGTGTTGCCATCCTGACTCCTCAGTCAGTATTGTGCTCCCACACACTGACTGTGTGGTTCTGTAAGGCACATGTGTGCATGCTTGTTGTCATGCTGCTGCACCAGCTTAGTTGTCTGCTAGTAAAAGTTGAATGTAGGCCGGGTTGAAGAGTTTAGGAGCCTCTTCGGAGCATATCTGGATGTTAAAACATCACAGGATGAGACAAACATATCTTGCATAATCACCACTTGTCTGTTACTGTATCACTTTAGCTTTTTGTCAAACACGGTTCTGATCTGACCTCTTTAATTATGACTGCTGTTGCAGTCCTGCTGGATTTACAGATATTCAGATGTAGACAAAATCTTTCTACATTACCCCAATAATAGTCTGAAAGGAGTTTTTGCACATCTTTTTTTACTACTTTTCCTTCTGTCCCTTTCTCTTTTTCAGCATTGTGTATTTTTTGCCACCTGTCACCATAATGTTTTTGCCTATGTGTTGTGACCACTGCATAGATTTTTTATGGAACTCTCAGAAAGTAATCTCTAGATGTTCGTCTACAACTGATTAACATTTAGGGTCAACCAAATTCAAGATGGCCACCACAATTAATCAGTATTTGTCACCACAAAGCAACAATTTCTTCTCTTTTATTGGTATTTTACTACAGCTTAAGGTCTTAGTAACTGAAAGTCATTCACAACATGTCTTGCAATATCGAGCGAAATCACACATTAAGTTATTTTTAAATTTGATAATAACAAAGATGACTTTACGTTTTGAAAATGTTAATACATCTGTTAAATTGCTGCTTTTTCTTGTGGGTCATTTCATTTGACTCAAAGAAAACTGGAAATAAACCAAAACTTGTGACTAAAAACCTCATGAGAACTTGGTTGATGTGTCAGGGGGCGGGGCAACATTAGTAAATACAGGAAGAAGGTGCATTGTTGTGATCTTGAGCTCGTCCACACCATGATGTAATCTACTCTCGAGTCACTTACTGAACTGTTTTACTTTTGTGTTTTTATAAGTTGTTTGTCGGAGCTGACAAATGCAGTCATTTGTCCAAAAATCAAAGAGGTAACCGACCTACCTGCAATGATAAATAAAAAAACACTAGCATTATGGCTGGGTGATATGGCCTAAAATCAATGTTACGATATATTGAGGATTTCACCTCGATAACGATAACTGGACGATAACTACAGGTATGCGCAGAAACTAAAGTTGTCCACTAGATGGGGCTGTCACATGTATTTTTACGTGACTCAAGGTGGTGCAGCTTCTTAATGGGACATGAGCCTACAACCTACACACATCTTTTCTTTTTTTTTAAATCAAATTCTTTGACATGAGAACAATTATTTCGATAAGAGTCAGACATTTCGATAACGATACATTTTTGGTTTATTGCCCAGCCCTAACAAGTTGTCAAATTTAAAGACTTACTGAATTTTATGCATCAGCTCACGTTTTAGATTTGATGAATTAGCAAAAGGACAACTCCTATGATTTTTGGATAATGTTGATGATGACGATGGCTCAGAGGAGTCCTGATGTGTCGTTACCATTCTATCAGAGGTCATTCTGTCTACTCGCTGATACAACTGTCTGTATGTTTTCAGATTCAAATTGGTCCTTTCACAATGGCTAGGGTGTTTGTTTTCACAGTTGTACTGATAAAACGTACTGTTTTCTAAGAATGCATAAACACTTCTCTATCTGTTATCTTTCTGATGTTCTTGCTGTTAAATGTCTTCCTCATAAGGAATGTGTTCCAATAAATAATCAGATGTGAGGAACCCCAGTCTCACTTTTTCTTCCCACGAAGAAATTTGCCAGATTCTTCGTCACAACATTATGGTCTCTGGATAAAATGAGTGCAACGTTTGGTGTTCATTAGAGCATGCTATTGAGAAGTTTTTCTCTCTGGTTGTATTTGAGTAAAACTCTGTGAAAATATTAATTACACATCTGTAGCCTCAGAGACACGACATTTTCACTGCCTCTTATTTTCTCAGAAAGAAATTTCAGAGAATGGTCAGCTTGTTATTGGAGCGATTCCTTGTACAAATCAGAACCATTTAAGTTTTATGGTGTGAGGCTTCTGCTGGAACTGGAGACACATGATGCATGTGGTCAACAGATTGAACAGATGACTGCAAAGGACAGCAGATGTTTTGAAGATAAAAAAAAAACAAATGACTAATGCAGTCAGAGTGTGACAAGGTGATTAATGCTGGGAAAATGGACATTTTGTTTTTGCGCAGTTGGACAGCAGGGAGCGGACCGGTTTCCACTGGGCTTGTTTACAAGGAATTTTCAGCACACAGACACCAGACCATGCAATCTTCTGTAGATTTATAGAGCTTCACAGACTTCCTAGAGCCTCACTTGCCTTGTAAACATCCCTGCCCAACAAGAGGAGGAAGGGAAACCTTTGCTTAGATCTCAGTGTGGAATGTGACCTTATACTTCCCAACTAAACTCACGTGTGGAAAATCTCATCCAGTGAAGGTGTCCTGTTGTATTACATCACAACTTTGTTTTTATAATGTATTTTTAGTAGAATATGTTGGATTGTAAATAATGTTTAGGTGTGTTCAGCTGAGCTTTGTGATTTACATGGGAATGTAGGTCACACTTGCGGAGTGCATCCAAATGGCTGACTTACTTTGGACAGTATGGACATTCTGTCCTCTCAGCTGGCATGTCCACAGCTTACAGAACAACAGAAACGCTCTCAGACGCTATTGTTTTATGTTCTTTACTCTATTGTGTGCATGTGTGTTCTTAAACTTAATGCAACTTGAACTTTTTTGAAGAAATTGCTATGGCATTGCCTGAAATTGCTACGTACATTAGCTTTCATCTCTAAACCCCTAATTTTAGACTTAGTTTTGCAATAATGTAGCTAACAGAATACCTGTTTTTATCTATAAACTTTTAAGAAGTACAAAAAGAAACAAGATCACATGAAATGTCTCAGTTCTTGCCAGTAGCTTGAGTCACCATGGTAATCACACATCTGTGAGTCTCTAGCCTGGCAAGCCATCCTGTCTATAGTCTGGCCATGACCCATAGACAGAACTCAGTCATGTGGTGGAATCAACGATTGTCTTTCAACCTGTCTCCGTACTCAACTGAACAACGTTGGGACCAATCAGAGCAACGAACAACGTGACATATTCATTGCTACGGGAATCAGTCAATGGGGCATTCCTCCATACACCGTTGAAGAAAAAGAAGCAAATACATTGTTGTTTTTTTTTAATAAAGGACTTGTGTACCTCCATCTGCTCCTGTCAAAGGAAAGCCCGAGTCTAAATCGCCCAAAGTTGATGCCACAGACCTTTTAAACAAGTGCCCTTCCTTAGCCGATGTCATCTTTGTAGTTTTTCTCCATCCCAGCTCGCCGACTGTCTCTCCACAAACATAGAGCGCTGTGATTGGCCATACCTAAAAGGCAGTCGGAGGCATGGCTGAGACCCGGTTCTAGGACAGAGCAGAACAGCCACGTCAGGAATACTGGCTAACGTACCGGTAGGTTGTACCAGTTTAGCTAATGGCTGATATAGCTGATTCAAATTTAAATGTGCGGCAGACTTTTACCCTTAAGAGGGCGTTACAGTGACAGTTTTAGGCAGAATATTTATGTTTGAAATGAGGTGCACTAAAATGCCAAAATAATTGACTATAGCACTAATACACTTTGGCGGCGGTCTCCTTGGGGTCTCCACGCCCAGGGGGAGATCTCTGGGGCTTGGTTCTCCTCCATCTTCCGCAGGTTTTTGGGGGCAGGTTTGTGGCCCCTCACACTCACTATTGGACACTCCTGTAGAGAAACCTAACATACACAAGCGCACGTACGCACACAGGTGCTCACATGGTGCACTCAAATATGGACTCGTTTTGACACATAACCTCTCTCTCTCTCAGATTCTTGTACATCCTTTATTGTTTATTTTTGTGAACTCCCCCCACACATGCTTTCTTTTCTCTCCTCCCTTTCTCTTTCATTTCCATCTGCGTGCCCATTGGGATTTAAAACAACCAAATACATTTCTAATCAAGTTTTGATATGAGGTGGGGCATTATAGCTGAGTCTTTAAAGCTCCACCTGTGAGAGTAAAACTGTAAGGCTTGTCTTCAACACTCAGACTTCAGTTCTGATTGCTTCACAGTTGGACAGGACACGAAAATAAAAAGAAAGACTGAGATTCATGTTTCTACTGTAATGTTTGCTTGAGCAACAATCCAGTACCCATGCAAGTAGGAAATGTCATCTTTGGCTCTGCTGTTTGATTTTCTGCTACCTAAAATGAGAGCACACTTTTTTAATGGAGTCACGCATTAGTGCATCTTTAGCATTTTGTTTTGAAAGCTGCAGATGGAGATAAAAACCAAAAACACTCCTGCATAATAACCCTCAACAATGTTTCTAGTCATTTAAATTGTCCTATTTGAATTTACTGTTCATACATTTGCTTCTTAAAGTCTCACTGCTTTTTGCCTTTCTCTCATTTTAGTTTACATTCAAAATGCGAAGTCTAGGCACTCTCTCCCTGGCCTGGGTGGGAGATGGATCAGGGGTGAGTTATCTACATAAGTGCTCATATTTATGTGCAGCGACTGAGGAACAACTTGTTGGGTAACCTTGAGGCCTTTTGCTCATAGGTGCTGCTGGTGCTGACGACGTTTCATGTGCCATTGTTCATGATGCGTTTCGGCCAGTCCAACCTCTACAGAAGGTGAGGAAATAAAAACTGGTTAGAAGCTGTTTTCATGTGTTTTCTGGGTCTGAGTACAATCTTTTCTGTGTGCTAGTGAAGACCACGGGAAGACGTTTAAAGATGTGACAGATCTGATCAACCATACATTCATCCAGACTGATTTTGGGATCGCCATTAGTCCGGACCATTCAGGGAAGGTGAGCTCACAATAAAACATGTTGTTTTTATTAATTAAACTTGGAACAGAGTAATATTTTCTGTCTATAACTTCACTTTTTAATTTGGCCATTTCAGGTGATCCTGACTGGTGACGTGTCAGACGTTGGTGGATTTCGACTGTTTCGCTCACAGGACTTTGGCTTGTCCTTTGAGGCGACTGACCTGCCTTTTGTGCCTCTCATTCAGTTACTGTACAACCCTGCAGATGGCAACACGCTTCTGACGCTCAGTATCACGGTAGTGGTTTTCAGCTTAAACAGTAAGGTTGAGTTTAGGGTTAAGGTTCTTAAACTGATGCTGAACTACACAGATCTTAATTATTCTTCAGTTATTATTAGGAATGTGTATTGGTAAAATTCAGACGATACGATACGTATCACGGTAAATTGTGATACATTCAGCCAGACAATATTGGAGATTTTTTTAGACTGACTTCGTTGTAGTAAAATTCAATAAACAGTCCAAACTGATATGTAACATGTTTAACATGAGGTATCTGAACCATAATAGAGGGAGTTACATTTCGATGGTGGAAACAAAACCCATTGCACACTACTTCCAACTAGTGGTCAGCATTTGAATTGCACCAAAAGAAAAGAAAACACACAAACGTTTGCATGTAAATTCTTCCAAAAGTTCGATACACGGCTTTTGAATATCAATATAATATTGCAGGAAATAAATATCACAATATATTGCCATATCAATATTTTTTACATCCCTAGTCATTATCCAGGTTTCTGTAAGGTTTAAACTGACCTCTTGACCCTTGTTTTCCTCCCAGTTGGACCTGTGGCTATCTGAGGACTTTGGTGCCACCTGGAGAAAAATCCATGACAATGTGTGTTTGGTCAGATGGTGAGAATCGCATCTTCTTTTGTGTTGCATACCGTTCTGTGGAAATGTATTTGAATATCAGACAAAAGCCATTTTATGCATCAGCCGACATTCGTCACTTAGCAAAGCCGATTTGAAGTCAGGCGCTTCCTTGGGCAGCCCAGTGCTGCAAACTTTTATTTAAATGTATTTTTACGTTCACTAAAAACATCTGCTTGATAAATACTCTAAATTAAAATTATTATCTGTCTGACTTTAACACTGAGTAGTGCACAAAGTTAAGCATTAAATTCAGAGTTCAAAAACTGATTCAGCTTCAGAAATTTTGTGGATCACATGATGTTATTATTGACATTTTAGCATGAAAATAAGTTGGAAAATGTCTAGGTCGGCCATGGAAATCGGCCTATAAAATTCGGCAGTACACATCGGCTGATCATGTCTCCTAAATATCAGTATCGGCAGCAGATAAACCAATATTAGTTGACCACTAGTTTTAATCATTTATGGGCATAGCGTTGCTCGAAAAGTTTTGAAATACAGTTTCTTTAGTAAGACAAAGAGGTGTGTGTGTGCGTGCGTGCGTGCGTGCGTGTGTGTGTGTGTGTTGATCACCACTTTGACTCCGCTTTCTTTTGAATCCACACAAATCTGTGGCAGCAGCCTTCGGTTGTGCAGCTCACCCACAACAGCCACTCAGACCCTGATCTGAACCGACTGCTGAGCACCAGAGTCGAATTGGTCGAGACATTCTTGCTCCGCCCACAGCCCTCCAACCAGCTGTGTGAAGACAGTCGTTTCTCACTGGCTACAAACATGAAACCTCTCATAAAACCATAATATGGGATTTCTGTGAATCAGATCTGAACTAAACTTTGGTTTTTCTTTGCATCACTTGTTTTTTTTTTCTCTCCCAGGGGTCCAAAAAGCAGCATCTACTTTACAAACAACAACAACGGTTCATGCAGTAAGAGAGGATGATACTGTCGATCACCCATAGATTAATATGTTTCTCAAATCCCGTCATAAATTCTTCTTTTGGTTTTTCTTAGATGACAAAGGAGCGTTAGATTTAAGGAGGACTGATGACTACGGCAGAAGCTTCCAGACCATTGCCACCAGAGTTTACTCCTTTGTTCTGGGTGGAAAGTTTGTTTTTGTCTCCGTAATGACCGGAGCGGTATGTTTTTACTATTTTAAATTCTTACTATTCATAATTTTTCCATTTTCTATAATAGCCTTGATGTTTTGGAAAGTGAAGGTAAATGTGTTTTTGTGCTTATTTAATAATAAAAAGCTATTTAGTGCCAGTTGTAAACTTTATACAGCTCATAAAAGAAGACCTCAATGGATTATTTAGCATAATGACACATTAACAAAGCAACTCTATAACATCTGGTTTTGTTTTCATAACTTGCAAAAAGCCTAATATTCAAACAATAAACCTTCCAAGCTGTGCTGCTATATAAGTGATGTGGTCAATTAGGTGAAAGCTCATTAATATAAATGTGTTTGTGTCAGAGTACAGAGCGTGTGATCCACGTGTCGGTGGACGGGGGGGATCGCTGGAACATGGCTCAGCTTCCTGCTGTCAATCACCAGCAGTTTTACTCCATCCTCTCAGCCAATCAGGACACGATCTTCATGCACGTTGACGACCTTGGAGGTCAGCAACAGCAACCCAGCTTTAGTGAATCGAGGGAGAAGTGTCTATTGTGTTGGGAATTGCTAATAATGCTGATGATAACGGAGATATTTAAACATTACTCCAAATCAAGACAGAAGTTGCCAGAGTTCCTCTGTGGAGGAAAAAGTATTTAAACTCTTACGGTGCGTGTTTGTGTCATGTGTGAGTCAGATTCTGGTGTTGGAACCATTTATGTGTCAGACGACAGAGGAACTGTGTTCTCCAAGTCTCTAGAGCGCCATCTTTACACCACCACCGGAAGTGACACGGACTTCAACTCCGTCGCTTCCCTCAGAGGCGTCTACATGACCAGTGTCCTCACTGAGGGTCGGTTACCTACTCCAAACATTTTAAATATTGTGTTTCAAGTTGCAATCACTTAAAATTCACGCTTTTGCCTGCTTTTACAAAAGTGTAATTTTATGGAACTGGGGTTGGAAGAAGTGACTCCTTCTTTCTTTATTACCTCATTTGTTTGCAAGCTGGAAACTCAGCCAAAATTCAACTAACTGCAAAGTTTTCTTTGTTGATTGGTAATGATTTATCTGTTATTATCAATTCAATATTTTGTTTTGCTTTTTGTTAAAAAAAAGAACATTTTAATTGATTACTTCACAAACAAAGACGTACATTAAAATATGGTGTTTACCTTGTGTTGCTTTGCAGATGGCGAGGTGGAGACGGTCATCACTTACGACCAAGGAGCGACGTGGCAGCCGCTGCACCAACCACAGAACAGCGTGTGTAACGCTGAGACCTCCACAAACCGACCCAACAGAGTGAGACAAATTATTTCCGCACATTTTTACGTGAACCAATAATTCAGATCTTTTCAAGAGATTTTTTTTGTGGAAAGGCTATAAACATTTAACATCTCGACGTTCCCGAGTGACCTCAGTTTAGAGGAACAGATTGGTTCTGATCTGATTGCAGTAGGGTCGTATTGCTGTTATCCGTCAGAGAGGCGAGATGCCCAAAAATCAGGACATAAGACTCCAAAACCTGCTGTGATGTGGGCAACCAGTTCCTGGAAATGGTCAGCGGTATATTTTTTTAACCTTGAGAACGACTTACAAGGCATTTATTCCTACTAGAGACCACTGCAAATGTATTGATTAAACGTGTGAACCACACCTTTAAAATCACAACTTTTTAGGGTTACCTTGTAGGGTAAGGGTCACCTTTTCACCTTCTGAGTTTGCAGGTATGCAATATGAATATCTGCCATGAAAACAATTTCAGTCTAAAAAGTTAACATCAGTTATTGCAAGCTCATTTTTTAGACATTTTGACACCTTTGATAACTTTACATCCTACAGACATTAAAGCAGAAATAATGTGATGAGCAACAGAACGTTTCTAAGCTTGAGCTTTTATCTTGGTGGCCCCATGTTTGCTGTTACAGTGCAGACTTCACATCCATGCATCCTACAGCACCACGATGAAGATGAACGTCCCCATGCTGCCTCTCTCCCAGCCTAACGCTGTGGGTCTCATCCTGGCCCATGGTAAGATCACACTACATTTAGCATCAGCGTTCTGCTAGATTACGTTCCAAACCATCACCTCTCCTCTTTCCAGGCAGCGTTGGAGATGCGGAGTCGGCTCTGTCCCCTGACGTCTACGTGTCTGATGACGGGGGCTACTCGTGGCTGCTGGCCCTCAGGGGCCCACATCACTACGCGATCCTGGACTCTGGAGGACTGCTGGTTGCTGTGGAGCACTCAAACTCACCTGTCAACCAGATAAAGTCAGAACTCCTTTTATTGCTAAATGCTAATTGTTCCATGCTTCTTCATTTGCCTTCAACCTGCATCCTCTCAGGTTCTCCACAGATGAAGGACAGTGCTGGCACTCGTATAACTTCACTAACGATCCGCTTCACTTCAGCGGCATGGACAGTGAGCCTGGCTCTCGTTCCATGAACGTCAGCGTGTGGGGCTACAGAGGTGACTTCAGTAAATGGGTGGTGATCACTATAGACTTCAGGAAGCTCTTCAGCAGAGACTGTGAGTTTTAGATCAGTAACGTTCGGTTTAACGGTGTGACGTCTTTTACTCGTATCATGTCTGCGTCTGCAGGCGATGAAGGAGACTATGTAGAGTGGCTGGCTCACTCTGCAGACCCCAGTGGGTCTAATGACGGCTGTGTGCTGGGCTATAAGGAGACCTTCCTACGCCTGAGGAAGGATTCCGTCTGCTGGAAGGGAAGGGACTTTGCAGTCTCTAAGAAGCTGTTCTCCTGCCCGTGTACACTAGCAGATTATCACTGGTATGTTTGTTTTATTACCAGTGTTGGGAGTAATGCGGTACAAAAGTAATTAATTACTGTAATGCATTGCTTTTTGCTGTAATGTGGTAATGTAAGGCATTACAGGGAAAGAAAATGGTAATATTTACTCGGTACAATTGTCAGTAACGCGGTGATTACAATGCATTTTTAAACCCAGAATCAAGATGTGTTCCTTAAAAATTCAAATTGCGGGAAACCCGAAGAAAGATCCAGTATCTGCATAAATTACGTCATTTATGGACTCAGCTTTGCGGGCAGAGAGGACGCCGCGGTAACGGCTCATCTACTCCAGCTGCGTCCTGCATGCGGCCGCTGCAACATTCACAAAATCGCTCCACTAAAACAAAATAATTCACTCGCGATCGTTCATATCAGCGCATATTCTCTGGTATTTTGTGCTTTTCTGACGTGCTTTGCCTCAGCTGAGTTCATAATCTGTACCCCGGTGATTTCAACTCATTACTGCTGAAGCGTCGCGCATGTGAAGATCCCTCTGGCTGATCGTTAGAAAGTAGGAAGTCTAGGAAACAGTTTTTTCTGGAAGACTGAGAAAACATGCAGCATGCAGGAAGGTTAGAGAGAGAAAGGGCTGGAAATTATTCACATAAAATCAAGAAAAAAAGAAAAAAGTAGGTAGATTTATCCCCAATACACATTTTTACCAGTGAAACGCAATAATATGTAAGCATTTAATATTTATACATGTGATAGAATCAGATCACCCCAGAAGTCAGTCCCACATCCAGGGCCGTGTCAAGGCATTTGGGGACCAAGGCAAATATAGACGTGGAGCCCCCACCACCTCACTCCCTGCTCAGATGGCCCTATAAGATGGCAGCGTGCTGAGAGTACAGATTGTTGTTGCTTTTATTTAATAAACAATCATTTTAAAGCACTGTTATTATATCTGACTGTTTTTAACAGCAATCCTAGCTCAGACACCACAACACCTTCCACATATATGTCATGAGCTCACCGAGCGTCAGATTACTAGATTCATATTGAAGTTGTTTTGGTGAAAGTAACTTAAAGTAATGCAAAAGTAGTGGAATGCCTTACATTTTAAAATCAGTAATATTGTAATGTAATGAATTACTTTAAAATGAGGGTAACAAGTAATAAATAATGCATTACAGTTTTGAAGTAACTTGCCCAACACTGTTTATTACCACTTTATGTACAAGAGGGAAATGAGACTAAGAAGTTCACATTCTGTTTATTCTTTAATTAAGTGTGTGACTTGCAAGCCTAAACTAAAATTCTAATATTCTGGGTTTTTTTCATTGGATGTACTATTTTATACTTTAAACTCATCGAATTGCAGCTTTGCTTTTTAGTAGAAAAGATGGGTTAGTATGCAGCTGACCAGGGTTTGTCTCTTAGTGACTTTGGATATCATCGTCCAGAGAACAGCTCAGAGTGTGTGGAGCAGGAGGACATGAAGGGCCGGGCTCTAGAGTTCTGTTTAAACGGGACCACTGAGCTGCTGCAGACTAGCGGGTGAGGATGTTTTAATTATGCTAAAAATATAACGGGCAACTGCATATTAAAAATGAATAAAAACTAGAGATTTGTGCTTTCCAGGGAAGTTGGCGTACTGACTTCCTAGATGGCATTTAGTGTACAGTTATGAAGCCCCTTGTCACTCATTTCTTTCTTATTTATAAATAAAAAATAACAAACTGTAACTCATCTAATATTCTATTCTTTAATAATTAATTATGTGTGCTTGATTATTTACTGTCTGGCTCTCCTCATATTGAAGCTACCGGAAGATTCCTGGGAACCGGTGTGAAGGAGGTTTTCAGCCTGAAAGAACGGAAACTGACTTGAGGAGGATGTGCATCGGCAGCGCTCTTCTTCCAAAATCTCTGGTCAGTTCTGCTCCTTCCATAAAGGAAGAAAAGTCAGGTGCACAATAAATATGATGCTGTTGGGCAAATATGAAGAGAGAACACACTTAAAGCTGATTCACCAAATCTGCAAAACGAGCTAGATTTTAAACCCAAACACAACCACTGAACTCTCACCCCTCCTGTCGGCTATCATCCCTAGGCCACGTTCCCCTTACAGGGAAACATTCATTACTAGAGCAAACGAGATAGTGCTAAACACCAGTTCCACTTTTCTAGGTACAAACATATTTTGTTGTTTGTGACAACAAAATGGTGTTTTTCTTTTTGGGACTCTGGTAGTTTGTCCTTTAGTTGAAGTGGTAGCAGCTGGCTGTTTCTCCCTCTCTAGTATTATTGAGTGGCGAACCGCTCACATCAGTGGTGTTCTGTTGAAAAATGCACAAATGCATAATGAATAAATGACCCAGGTAAGTGTTATTGGTGGAGGTTTTATGACAAATGTGAGAGAACCACTTTATTTATTTATATATTTATCTATCCATTTTTTCTTCAACTCTACTGTGGGATGTGAACGTTTGGGCAGCCTTGTTAAGCTTAATGATTTTTCTTTATAAATTGTTGGCTGTTTTGATAAAAATATATATCATATAGGAGACACACACACAGTCATATTTGAGAAGTGAAAGAAAATGTATAGGATTTACTGAAAGTATGCAATAATTGTTTAAACTAATTTGGGCAGGTGCATAAATTTGGGCACCACAAAAAACAAATTAACTCAATATTTAGCAGATCCTCCTTTTGCAGAAATAACAACCTCCCAAATGCCTCCTATAGTTTCCAATGAGAGTCTGGATTCTGGCTGACGGTATTCTGGACCATTCGTCTTTACAATTCATCTCTAGTTCATTCAGGTTTGATGGTTTCTGAGCATGAACAGCTCTCTTTAACTCACACCACAGATTTTCAATAATATTCAGGTCTGGGACTGAGATGACTGTTCCAGAATGTTCTACTTGTTCCTCTGCATGAACGCCATAGCAGATTATGAGCAGAGTTTAGGATTGTTGTCTTGTTGAAAGGTCCAGTCCTGGTGCAGCTTCAGCTTTGTCACTGATTCCTGGACATTGGTCTCCAGAATCTGCTGATTTTGAGTGGAATCCATTTGTCCCTCAACTTTAACAAGATTCCCAGTCCCTGCACTGGCCACACAGCCCACAGCATGATGGAACCACCACCATGTTTTACTGTAGATAGCAGGTGTTTGTCTTGGAATGCTGTGTTCTATTTCCTCCATGCATAACGCTCCTTGTTATGCCCAAATAACTAAATTTTAGTTTCATCAGTCCACATTAATTCCAGAATGAAGCTGGCTTGTCCAAATGTGCTGTAGCAAACCTCAAACAGCTCTGTTGTGCTGTGGAGAAAAGGCTTCCTCTGCATCACTCTCACATACAGCACCTCCTTGTGTAAAGTGCGCCGAATAGTTGAACGATGCACAGTGACTCCATCTGCAGCAAGATGATGTTGTAGGTCTTTGGTCTGTGGGTTGACTCTGACTCTTCTCACCATTATTCATAAAGTTTAACAAGGCTGACCAAACTTTCACATCCCACTGTATACTATGTTAGAACGTTGTTAAGAGGTATGAAAACTGCTTTATGCTTTTTTGTTTTGCAGTTTGCCATTGGAGTTTTAAACTTTATAAAAGTTTGCTTGAGCAAAGAATGGTTCATGATTATTTGTGAGACACAAAAGCCCTCTGAGGAAATTCAGACTTTGATGAATTCAGTGTTTTAACAGCTTTCATGTTTCTGTCCTTTTTGCTTGTGGAAACAGCAGACTGAGCACAGCTCAACAAACGCTGTTGTCATAGCGATGGTCATCATAGGGATCCTTCTAATGAGCGCAGTAGCAGGCGTCTGGCTGGTGAAGAAATACGTCTGTGGAGGACGGTCAGTTAATGTTTTTTCATCCTTAATTGTTTCTCATCAAACTCCGTTTACATCCTTCTCTCGTTTTGTTGTCTTTAGGTTCCTCGTGCATCGATATTCTGTCATGAGGGAAAACGTGGAGGCAAACAATATTGAAGGAGTAGATGATGTTGACAGTCAGTACACAGAGACAGAAAAAGCTCAGTTCAATGAAGATTCGGATCAGGTGTGTGATGCTGTGGAGCTTCTAAACAAATGCCATTAGTTAAAAAAACTCAATTATTTCATTTGTGTTTCATCTCAGGATCTCTTAGTGTAAGACTTTTCTCAGCTTGAAGGCTTTTATGATGCATTCCTGTTGCTCAGTAACATCTGGTTCACGCTTCTCACTGCCCCCTGGTGGTTGGAGGACACTACAGCAGTTACAGCTCCTACTGAGAGGTGTGGAGTAGGCTCTGAACAAGGAAAGACCTGTGGGGTTCTTGGAAAGGTTTTTTCTTTTGTTATTTTTTTTCCACAGAGACTTTTGTAAAAATCACAGACAGCCTTGCACTGCAGCAACAGTATGCACATGCTATAACTCGGATATTTTTGTGGCTGAGAGCTCCGTCCATAACAGCATGCACCATGTGGTCATTGTTGTTACTCTGTGAACATGAAACATGCACACGCATGGCCATTTACATTAGACGTTAATGTTAGAACTGCTTCTTTAGTCGTTAAATCAGCTTTTATTTTTAAGACTACTCACTTTTTTAGGAGTTTCTGTATAGTTACATATCTTGTTGAATGATTATTTTGTAGTTTTTATTTTTAATGTGTCATGTCACTGTAATAGGTTAGAGATGTTTTTGTTCTTATTGTCACTGTAAGGTCTGTGAATCCCAACAGATTAGTTGCTAATCAGGCTCAGAAAATCCCAACAATCAACGTAGTTTTATCCAAATTGTTCAGTAACCTTCAGTCATTTTAACTTAAACAATAAAAGACATTTAGTTATCCCTTTTTATGCATAAATTCACCAATACAAAGTCTGTATAAGACATATTTTAATTATTTGATCATTTTTATGACAATATATTTGATTTTAATCTGTAACTACTTAAGTTTGACAATCATTTCTAAAAGTTAAAACTGCAGTGACCTTGTTTAAAAAAAATAAGATTTTGTTACGAGACTGGTGTCAAAGCAGAAAATGCTAATTATCTATAAGAACTGGGATTTATTATAAAACTTCAAAATCAGAGTAAAGTTCTTAATTCCTTCCCTAAAATTCCTTAAAACATTACAAGGATTTTAACAAAACCGGTTCCTACAAAAACCTTCCACAATTATTCAATCAAAATATTAACAATTATATCCTCTAATGTTTAAAAATGCAATTAACACTTTATAAAGTAGACCACTTCTTGGAAACAAATTGTCCAAAATGTAGGAATCTGCACATTTTTCCCTTTTTTGTTACATATTTTTCTATTCGTTAAGCAAATATGTCCTCACAACTGTAGTATTCTGTATTGATTTGTGATGAATTACTGAAAATGATGATTTGATGACATGTAAAATTGGAGCTGAATCATTTTTGTACTGAAGAATTGTACGGCCCACAGCTGCTGAAACATCATTAACATATACTTTATATAGTATTGTTCCCAGAATGGAACCCTGAGGCACTCCACATTGCACTCAACTCTAAAAGGAAGCTATAATTGTAACAAATCTGTACCAATAAGCTGAAATAAATTCACAAATATCAGTTTTAAACCCCACAGCCAAGAAGAGTAACAAAGTTTATTTTTTATTTTATAGTAACACAAAATGTTTTTAAAATGTAGAATGTGTTGCAGCTTAACTAAGCCTGCTTCTTCTACTTTCATGTATGCATGGTGAAAAGAAAAGACTTGAATTGTTGCCAAAGCACTTTTACAGTTAGTTTTTCAGATTTTTCAGGTGAGGATTGCAATGAGGGAAACCTGACTTTAGCCTAGCATTAGCTTTGAGCATGAAAGTGATGCTAATTTAAACCCTTTACTTGAAATTATAATTGGTTGGTACGTCTTAAATAACTTCCTTTTTTTCTAATTGGTACAAGCATAAAAAATAATCATGAATTGTGTTCAAACATGTAAATATAAAAATATTGATGTACAAATCCATAAACTTCTCAAGGTCTTACTATTTTCAATAATAAGGTAGTTGGAATAACTTATCAGGTGACTTGGTATAAATGCATATCTATTCATAATTTAACTGAAGTGATGTTTTCTCGTAGGTACATCTTTATATTTAATGTTGACTGACTACATTTCTATTCTCTGCCATGTGCTTCACAAACAAACGGGGCTTCTAGTTACTGCTCATATCCTCCAGCAGAGGCAATAATACCCCAGTCAATAAGCTATCATAGTAAGTAAGCTGGCCTAGAGACTGAGCCATGGCTTTTGTCGTGTGTACTTGGTGCATTGTAATTAAATCAACTGTACCGCAAACTCAGCTATTTACTGGATTCATAGATTTTCTTTTGCACTGTGTCTGCAGATCTGTGAAAATGTTACATTTGCTGAAATTCTTGTAAAGCTGCATTCTGTCAAAGAAGAAAGATTCATTAGGGCTATTTGTTCGGACCTTTTTTCAGTTTTTTTTTCTTTGTTTCTGAATCAGACTGTTCTAGTTGAACATGTTTTGTAACAATGTTTGCGTTTACAGAATGAAATAACATCACTTTTACAAGTGACTTCTGTGTGTTGTTTTTTGATTGGTTACTGAAAAACGATGAAAAGAGAATAAAAATGTTTGTGCGCGAGTGTGTCTTTTGTGATGAAATACCAGAGGTGTGGACTCGAGTCACATGACTTGGACTCTAAGTCAGACTCGAGTCATTATTTTAATAACTTCTGACTTGACTTGATGAAATCTATAAAGACTTACGACTTGGCTCGGACTTGAACACCAATGACTTGCGACTTGAATCGACTTGCATCTGCTGACTTGATGATGACTTGAGCATATTTGATATTTTAGCACAAAAGTGGCACAACCTGGACAAAAATCATAAATCATTCTTTGTTCTGGGTTTACTGCTAAATGCAGCAGCAGTTTGTTTATAATCAGTTTCAGTTCCACATTCTGGTTGTTTGAGCAAATAAATGAAGCTTTAAGAAGCTTTATTTCTGGAATTTATTTATTATCATTGTCATTAAATTGAAGGTGGACAGATGACTTGAAAATTGAAAGTTAAAGACTTGGACTTGATTGTCCTTAACTTTGACTGGACTCGAGACTTAACTGGAAAGACTTGTGATTTGCAAATCAGTGACTTGGTCACACCTCTGAGAAATACATCATTGGATGGATTTTGATTAGACTCACGCACTAAATAATTGTGTGAGATTGCAATGTTTAACAGTTATGATAAATATTTATTACTCCATTGTTCTCAACTAAAATGTTTCTTAGTTTAAAACTGTTGTGAAAGGTGGTGCAGCATTTGCAAGAAAATGTGTGGGCTTTAATAAGCATCTTTTCTTGTTGTTCTCTTTCTCAGTTAAGGTACTTTATTCCAGTTATTGCCATAAAATGTGAGAGTTTATGAAAATGTGCAACACAGTCAATAAAAACATGAAAAGTAGATGATTTTAAGGCATACTATGCAACTTTTTCTTATTTTTAAATCATTTTCTTGTGCCAGCATGTGCTAAAATGACCCTTTACAGGGTTCATGAAATGTCACACAGACCCCCCACCACCCCCTGTGGCCAGAATACCACATTTGCAACTTCAGAGTGCTGGACCAGTCTGTTGGACTTAGAAAAAAAGTGAGCTGACATACCTGGCTCTGCAGTTTTCTTCCAGCATGTTTCGTTAGATCATGAACACAACGGATTTGTTTGATTTAGTAATGAATCACTCGTGTAGACACTAACGAAGGCTGCGGTGACATTTCAGCGGTTAGATTAAGGTGTTAAAAAGACGAACGCACAGCGAAGAGATGAGTTTCATTTTTGGTTCTATTAAACGGACACTAGGGTGTGCTAAAAGTAGTGATGCACCGATATGATATGAAATTTTTTGGGCCGATATCCGATATTGAGATTACTGTCATGGCTGATAACCGATAATTGTCGATACTGATATACTGACATTAAGGCTTCTAAAATCAGCAGATTTTGTATAGAATGGAAATTATTAAAGCTGAATTTATGTTATTATGTACACACACATTTATGTTTCTGAGATGATTCACTGTTTAGTCACTGTTAATATGACTAAACAATTACCCCCCCTCCCCCCGAAACAGCAAACAAATGGAGACGAAATGGAAAAAATAGTTGTTAATACCGGCCCGGTTTTATTAATTGAACCGATACCAATATGTTAAAAAATCACTAACTATCTCTGCTTTTAATTTAATTTAACTTCTGTTTTTTTAATCAGCGTTTACTCTATTACACAAGTTTGCAATTTTTCATTTTTAATTTTTCTTTATTTTTCCAGAAACCATTTTTAGAACAAAAGCATCAAACCTAAATATATATGTATTGTTTTAATTTATTTTTCATCCTGCTCAGGGTCACGCTGTAATCAGCAGAGATGGGGATTGTAGCTTCAACAAGTCGTCGCCATGTCGTGTTTTTGTTCTGCTCAGCAACTGAACCAGGTTAATTCACTGTGTTGACCATCGACATAAAGGTGCTGACTGAAATCACCTGGTTCAGTTGCTGAGCAGAACTAAAACACGACATGGAGATGACTTGTTGATGCCACAATTTCCCATCTGTTCTAATTATATAAATAATGGAACATGTGGAGTATTTGAGTCATATAATCATAAGTACTTTATTTCCTACTTTAAATCTCATATTTATGACATACTTTGTGACCATTATCTATTTATTTTTCTTTTGGGTGATGGAAATGGGTTTTTATGGAGAGAATGGAATGGGAACCAAATGTAGAAGTATTTGCTAACTGCAGAGAAGTGCAAAAAGTCATTCAACAGGCTGTGAATGCGCCTGAGCCGCGCTCCGGCCGCTAGGGAGCGCTGTGGTCTAAAGTGAGCATCATTGGCTCTTTCACCCCTGCGTTGCCTAGTGATGACAAACTTAGGACTGCTGCTGATTTCCTGCCTGTTCAAAATCTCGTCGCTGACACTGAGCTAACGCTACATTTTTACGGATTTCATCTGTTTATCTCGCCAGTTTTGCTCAGCTATGTTACCGTTTAGCATTTGTACCCTTTGCGGAAGTGCTGCGTAATATTAAGAGGTGAAGAATGATGGATAGGTATCTTTTCATCAGAGTCGTTGGGAAAGGCAGCTATGGGGAGGTGAACTTGGTGAAACACAAAACAGACCGAAAACAGGTATGAAGCGGAAAGAGCGGACTCCAAACGAACACACAACTCATATAAAACACTTAAAAAAAACAGTTTTTGGTTGTAGAGACACCAAAGTACAGCTAAAGATGCTAAAAGTGACGTCAGTGATTTGTTGTTCTTCATGGTTGAGATTTTTTCCAGCGAACTAAATAATTAATTAATCTGATAACCTTGAGATTAACCTTACGATAGCATCAGTTTTATATTTTTAAACGTGTAAAGAATGTGCAAATAATAGAAAATGATCTAATATGTAAGTAATTGTAAGCAGACATCCTTTTAAAAGCCACTGTGGCGTAATTTACATAAGTATTTATATCAACATAGAGCTTATGATTTTATATTTTATCACGCTGAAAATCATTTTCACTTATTCTCTGAACCTTTGATCAGAAAATGTTCAAACTCATTACCATCTAATTGAGAAAGCCTTTTGTTTACATATATGACATGATTAAATCTTATTTGTTTCTTCTTTGTTTAGAATGTTTGTAGATCATTTTCTAAGTGTGTGTCGTTTTCTCAGTATGTCATAAAGAAGCTGAATCTGACCACCTCCTCCAAGAGAGAGCGACGTTCTGCTGAGCAGGAGGCACAGCTCCTGTCCCAGTTGAGACATCCCAACATCGTAACTTACAGAGAATCTTGGGAAGGGAATGACTGCCAGCTGTACATCGTGATGGGTTTCTGTGAAGGAGGTGACCTCTATCATCGGCTCAAACAGCAAAAAGGGGCACTGCTGCCAGAGAAGCAGGTTGTAGAGTGGTTTGTCCAGATCGCCATGGCACTCCAGGTACAGCATCTTCTGATACTGATCATGTTAGGATAAACATTTCACACACGAGTGTGAGGTACAGGAAATCAGGTGTGTGTTTTGTGATTTTCAGTATCTGCACGAGAGAAACATCCTTCATCGAGACCTTAAAACACAGAACATCTTTTTGACCAAAACCAACATCATCAAAGTTGGAGACCTCGGCATTGCACGGGTTTTGGAGAACCAGAGCGACATGGCCAGCACGCTCATTGGGACCCCGTACTACATGAGTCCTGAGCTTTTCTCTAACAAACCCTACAACCACAAGGTAGGATGCCATCCGTGTCTCGAAAGTTATCCAAAACTGTAAATATACCTTCATGAATTAGTTTGGACTCAGAATGTATTCTACACAAACTCAGGTCTTTATTAGATTTCACAATTTTTGTTAATTTAGTCTTTACAATAAAACTGGATTGATTTTGTTTTAAGAATAGACCAATATATTGGCATTCAGGCAGCCTAAAATTACTGCAGAATTTTACTTAAGTGTTTGTTAAGGTTCCTGATGAGCATCTCCTTAATAAATGCTCCAAAACATGATTATTAGGTGACATTTCTTTATATTTACATGTGTAATATTTAATCATTTTTTATTTTTTGAATGACTTTGGTTAAAAGTTTAATTTTAAAACTGACAAGGGCACGAAAAAGGTTTCAAGCACAGAAAGGATGTGCATTCACTGTTCATAGTGACATTTAAGCAGGTAGATGAGATGGAAAATGGAGATATAAAATCGGCCAAAACATTAGACGCACATATTGACAATCTGCTGACCATGATCTCTGTATATCGGTATCGGTAATAGGAAAATCCATATCGATCAACCTCTAGTTTATATGTTAGCTCTGTTTGCAGTAATGTTAGTTTTACTAAAACAATTCTGTTTTTTAATTATATTACATAACATCACATATTTTAGTGTTGCTCTCTGGTTGTCTGCATTAGCAGATTTATTCTACATTTTTCTGGCAGTAAAATTATTACAGACTAATTCATCAACTAAATGTCAAGAGAAAGAAAAATTTGCAAAATATTTCTTCAAATGTGTGTGTGTGTGTGTGTGTGTGTGTGTGTGTTGTATATTCTGCATCTAGTCTGATGTTTGGGCGTTGGGCTGCTGTGTTTATGAGATGTCCACACTTAAACACGCCTTCAACGCCAGGGACATGAACTCACTGGTGTATCGCATCGTAGAGGGAAAGGTTTGTATCTGATTCTTTTCCCTCTGTGTTTAAGTCCAGTTCAACATAACAATTTCACAGCAGTTTTTGATCCGGTTAAACTTTCATGTGATGCCTTTTTTTGTGTATTTTTTTCATGCACAGTTTCAGTCTCTTGATGTTTGTCTTGTTTAGACATTTGTGTTCTTTTTTAATCCCTGATTAGCTCAAAGTAATCTAATTAGTGTTTTTGGTCACTAGCTGCCACAAATGCCGAGCCAGTACGATCCTCAGCTGGGAGATTTGATCCGCAGCATGCTGTGTAAGCGACCTGAAGACAGGCCTGATGTTAAACTTATCCTCCGACAGCCCTACATTAAACAACAGATCGCCATGTTCCTCGAGGCCACCAAAGAGTACGTGTTGCTGTCAGGAAATGTCACTGGAACCCTAACCCCTCATTCATTGTAATTGTTCTTTTGCCACAATAAAGAGTGAGGAGGTTGTTTGGTTTTCACCTTTCCAGAAAAACTGCTAAGTCAAGAAAAAAGGCTGCAGGAGGAAGCAGAGACTCTAGCGCCAACAGTGAAGCATCAAGTCAGCCAAAACCTCAGAAGACACATCCAAGTTTCCAGCTTGAACCTGTTGTCCGGATGAAGAAGGTGAGTTAGAGATGAACACCAAGGCTGGTTAGACTTTGCGTCCTCTTCCAAATCTTAAGCAAACTTGTAGTTTTTTCTTGTGATTTTGAGGATAGGGAGGGATTTCCTAAATTTGAGTTAAGCCCTATCCCATCATCCCACTTTAAACCTTTCAGATGAAGGATAGGCCCATGTATGATTAGAAAATGACCGTTGGCACCTGTTCTGCAAATATAAGTAATTTTTCTTTTAAATATTTTATCAACCCGGAAACAAGACATTTGGATTCAATAAAAACCTGCTCCACTCGTGTGAATTCTAGACAATTCATAACGTAACCCTAGATCCCCAGCAAAGCATCATGGACCATAAAGAAAGCAGCGTTTGTAGCCTAATGCAGGCCGAGTGCAACACCCCAGTTCTCCATTGGAGAAGCTGTTAACGAGCCTATAACACACTCACACACACCACTTGGCAGGGGAAAAGATGACTGGGATGAACTATTGTCCCAGTCCATCCCTGACTCTCATCAATCAAACTTTATAACCATTCAGCTAGCGACTAGCAGTTAGATGTACTCGCCGCTCTGGTCTATCCATCAAGTGGTTTTAGCGTTTGAAGAAGAAAACCAACTCCAGTACTAGCAGTGGTTTAACAAGCAGACAGTGAAATCACTGTCACATTCCCACTTGGTTCACGAAAGCTCCTGAAGATAATATTACACCATTTCTGCTGATTAAACTCTTCTCCACAAAGACTGGAAAAGGTTACTGCTCCTCTCACAGACAAAAATCTATTTTTGGGTTGTAGGCATTATTTAAAGTGCAGAATAGATAAGAAAGAAATCCCTTCTTCACAGCTGTGGAGATTTAACTCCCTGCTAGCTACACGGAGAGACTGGGTGTTAGTGTTTACAGTCCAGGGGAGGAGGGTTTCGGATTTGACGCTACCTGGATGGGGAGGAGCGGGCCATGATGACACAAACCTGCCCCATCCAGCCGTTTGCAATAGCTCAGCAGACCTGAAAAGGATCTGCCGTTGAGAGAGAAGAACACACGTGTGAAGCCCAAAAGTGCCTTGGGTTATTTGTGATGAACATGGTCAAAAGCTCCAAAAATGGACTTTACATGGTATAGTCCCTTTAACAAATCAGGTACACCTAATAAAGTGACCAATCAGTGTAGCTGTCATGTCATAAAATACCTGCTACACCTGACCTGTCAGTTATACAAGTCATAATAAGGCCTGAAGAACAAATTACCCTGCTTGTTCCAGCTGGTGTGTGTGTGTGTGTGTGTGTGTGTGTGTGTGTGTGTGTGTGTGTGTGTGTGTGTGTGTGTGTGTGTGTGTGTGTGTGTGTGTGTGTGTGTGTGTGTGTGTGTGTGTGTGTGTGTGTGTGTGTGTGTGAATTTATCATCATAAAAACATTCAAGTGGATTGTTCTATTTATTATAAAGTTGTTTATGACAGAATCTTTGTTTCCTGTGAAGAGTAAATATTGTTTTGTGATGTTTTCCTTTTTCTTAGAAAGAAAACAAACCACCACAGAGTAAAAGCCGTAGCAGAGCACCAGACTCCCCTCCAGCCAGGTCATCACAACAACCCAAATCTTCATCACCTGATGTCCTGGAATCCAGTGTTGTTCCCATGGTGACTGTCAGCAACATTGATGTTGATATCCAACTGCAGCAGGGTGATGACATAATAAAGAGACAAGTTCAAAAGCCCTGGTCTGAGCCAATCAGTGAACCTGTGACTCACTCTGTGTACAAAAACAGCAAGACAAGTAGGAAACAAGATCCCTCTTTCCCTCCCTCCCCCCTGAACCCCCCTCTGATGACTGTATCAGGTGTTTCTGGTGAGGGAGGAGCTGAGAGGATTGCATCCAATGGATTGTTGGGTAATCTGCCACAAACCAAGCCAAACCAAGGGGATGTGTTTTCTGTTGTTGAGGAACGTGTGTCACATTATAAAGATGATACCACAGAGCTGCTAAGAGAGGCTGGTGTGCAGATTCCAAATCTAGAAAACATCACGATGGATGTGGACTTTGGCAAGCCAGCTCCAACACAACATTCACACACCTCAGATGTCCAAGTGAGTATCCAACACAAAACAGTCTTGTTTTCTCATCAGGTGTCACTTTTTGTGTCTGAATGCTTTTATGTGATTTAAGGAAAGCCTGGAAACTACAGACAAGCTTTTAGAGCCTCTAGCAAAGGTAAGCGCTATAAAGGTGTTCTTTGCTGGGATTGTTAGGGTCAACACCTAGTGCACATAAGGTAGAAAAATGTCATTGTATTGTTTCAGGTGCCTGAATCGTCATCTGTAGCTGCTACATTAGATCAAGCCTCCTTGTGTCAAAGTCCATGGTACCTGTCAGGACCTCCAGTGTCACAGAAACACACGAACACACACACAAAACTTACAAAACAGGATCAGAAACAGGTAAAAAAAAATATATTTACACAAACATTTACCGTAAAAATGTTAAAATTGTGTTCTTTTCAATATGATGTTTAAATAAAACATTTTTTTAAATGTCTTGTTAGCTTAAAGTGGCAGCTCAAAGACCTTTGCCTCAGCCTCCCCTCCAGTTTGGAGCTCTGGATGGGAAAAAGAGAAGCAAGAAGATGACAGGAGGTAAAAAGGCTGGTGAGACTGAAGTTTCCACATCAGCCAGTTCCGCTAATGATGGATTCTTACCAACGCCGCAGGTGAGAACCATGCCCTCACTGGTGGGTGGAATCCTTAGAACACACATCCCAAGTTAATAAGAAGTCAAATTTTTCTCACTGTAACTAAAAGTTACATCTGTAAAGTAAAACGTCCGTCTGCGATATGGACGCTGATCGGATTTACTGTGATTAAAACCAAAGTGATGGTTCATTTCTTTGTAAAGGATCGTCCTCTGACTGCCAGAGAGAGAAGACGTCTGAGACAGTCTCAGGAGAGTAGCAGCCAAGCTGGTAATCCCTCCAAACAGAGAAAAATACTCTGAAGAAACAACAGAACAGCAGTTTTTTTTTTTACAAAGTCAATCATCACTTCCTCTGCTTTTGTCAGGTGTTAGTGTCGTGCGAAGGGCATCTTACGATGTTGCTTCAATAAACGTTGAGCAACACAACGTCCCAGTCACTCGATCGGCCTCGTGTTCCGTCACAGAATCCAGCAGTAAGGTACCGATTCTGCTTAAACGTACCGTATTTGATTTAGATTCTAAAACTATACAGCTTTATGTAATAAAGTGCATAACAACCTAAAAGGTCAATCAGAAGCTATTTAGGGCAGATTTCGTCTATGTTGTGTTTTGTATCGTTTTGGTTTCAGGGTAAACTGACAGAGCAAAAGTCAGATGAAGACGAGTGCAGCTCGTCTACGAGTTCCACCGAGCGCTCCGAGGGAGATTGCAGAGAAAAGTGAGTGTTTATTTACCAAGGAGGATCTACTCGATCAGAGTGAACAAAACAATAACTTAAAAAATATCAACATTTGTAGTTTTTTCTACTCTTTAACCTTTTCACTTTGTCATCTGCAGGAATGAATCCTGCGACATGCACGATTTGGTCCATATGATGACTCAGACTTTGAGGATGGGTGCTGGAGACGGTGGACACGAGGTGGACAAAAGCAGATCTGACTCGAGCACACTGCCTGAGTTCAAACTAAACAGGAGGTACAGGGACACACTGGTGCTCCACGGGAGAGCTCGAGAGGAAGCCGAGAACCTGTCTCTCTGTGAAATACCAACAGGTTGGATACTTTTATTAGTGAAGTTATTTTGGAGCTGTTTTGTTGTGTGTTTAACAACTCTGTCTCCAGAAGGCTCCACATCCGGTCCGGCCAAGATAAGGAGAGCAATAGAGCAGCTGAGAACAGATGTGGTGAAAGGTCTGGGCGTCAAGCTTTTGGACAAAGTGTTCGAAATCATGGAGGTAGAGGACGAGGTCAAAAGAGAAGTGAGGGGAACATTTCAAACATCACATTACAATATTAAGTGTTATTTAATGGATCTAAAGAACAAACTTATTTTGAGCTGAATAAATACAATGTATTTGTTTATTTCCAGAAACAAAACTACAAGTAAATCTGCTTTGCATTTAAAACTCAGTTTACTTTTTTCTCCTGTTTTTTTTTTTATCAGCTGTGTCTTCGTGACCAGATGGGCGATGAGAAGTATCAAGCTTATGCCGTCATGGTGAGGCAGCTAAAGTTTTTTGAGGATGTTGCCTTCAAGGCATAAAGGACTGGAGATTATATGTAGATTTCTGTTGCTCACTAACATCTTGCAACTTCAAGAAACCATTTGTCAACGATCAATCTGCGTCCTGTCAAATTACTAGGTGGTTGGTGTGGCATCGGTACTTTCTGGTAGCCTAGTGAACTAGACCAAATTCTTGCTTGGCGAAGTTTAGGATGGCTTGTCAGGTTAACTTTCTGCTGACATGCAAGTTCACTGATGACTGGAATTTTTTTGTACGGTCATCAATCCTGTGAATTATGTATATGTCTGGGTATTTTTTTAAGTATAAATTCAGAATAATCAAATACCGTTCCAATTCCCTATGCAAACCGTTGTGTTAGGACTCTGTTTTCGTGTTTATAATGAAAAGCCAAAATTTCAAGATTGTAGCCTTTATGTTCTAAGTTTGAACATAGATTTAAGTTTTGCTGTCCTATTTTGTCTTTTTTAATAATGTAAAATAGCTGTATTGTAGATATTAACAGTTGAACTATTTCTAATAAAATCCAGAAGTTAAGTTTTGTTTGCAGGTATTTTAATTTTAGGTGTTACATTGAAAAATTTGAAATCTGACAAAAAAATAAGTGTTTTGGTCACAGCAGGTTTTTCCTTATCTGAAAAACATAAAAATTAGACATAAGATGTCTATGTTGAGGATTTGTTTTATCACTGACACATTTAACACTTTTACTGTGCAAACACTTTTATTGTGAATTATAAGAGAAATTTATATTTGATTCCTCATACAAAACTGGGTCAAACTGGGGATAGGTAATGAGTTATTTATGCTTCTTCTTCTTGATGGTTTCCTGAGGCTTTGGGGGAGATTCTCCACTGCTCTCAGGTACAACTGGCTGCCAGGGCAGAGGATTTTTCCGGTACATGGGCCACGGTGGCAGGGTCAACTGTACAAAATGACAGAAATTAAATTAGTTGTTTTTGATACCCTGTATAAAAAGTTGGCATGGTGTGCCCTTAAAACTTAATCAAAACTATGTATAGACTAGAAACTTACCACACAAGACACAGCAAAGCCTCCCAATACTATGTACACCGTCCACCCAAACTGCTGGATGATCAGACCGTAGATGAACCCAATCACCTGAGAAGAAATGCTGTCAGTGCACCAGACTGAAGGTAAAAACACAACACCTTATCCATATGAATAGAAACTTACCGCAGAGATAAGTATAATTCCTTGAAAAATCTGTTCAGCTAACTTCTGGCCCTTATAGTCCTAAAACACAAAGAATAAAAGAGTAATTAAACAAAACGGCTGGGATCTAATCAGCACAGTGCACATTTGAACAGAAGTGATATCAAAGTTGCTACAAACTATTTGAAAATCCAATTTCCAGCTTTATCAGTTTACAACCCATGACCCCACGTTCATCCACAAGGTATCTCTGAAAGTGCAAAATGTCTATACATATATATTTACAATAAATGCCTGTAGAGTGGATAAATACAAATAATAAAGGCCTAACACCAGGAACAATCGTGTAAATGTAACACGATTTAATAGTAACCAGCATTAACCAACTCGGATACGTTGGACATGTAATTAAATATTTTTTTCTCATTTGGACTTTGCAGAGTTAAAAAAATGAAACATTTTTCATTAGCAGCTGCTGCAGTTAAGCTAACGGGAGATAGCTTAGTAATCAAAGTTGATGGGTGCTTAATTTGTAGTGTCCGGATAAGTAAGGTAGTAAAGTCTTACCATATGTGTGGGAATGTTTTTAAATCTCGACAGCATGTTTTCACAAGATATAATCTACATAAACCGAAAAAAGTACTCCACTCAAGTTAGCTATGCAAGCAGACTGACTTCCGGTTGTCTCGAAAAGCTACGTCCGCTGTCTGTACCGACACCGCCGTTACGACCTAAACTGCTCACTCATCTGTGCCTGAACGAAAAACTAGACTTTCACAATTTTTTTAAATAATACGGGTTGGGCAAAATGCTCAAAGTTACAGTCTAATTTAAGAATAGATTGATGAAAAAAATTAAGGCTGTCCGCAAGATTGCTGTATAAAAAAATAACTGTTCCTGTTTCTAAGGAACGCAAATTTACTATTTTGCATTTTATTTAAGCGCTGAAGGAACGCAAATGTACTATTTTGCATTTTATTTAAGCGCTGAAGAGATAGGTACAGCGGATGTCGTATAAATTTTAATAGTTTTCTATGGTTGTAATATTTAAAACGGGTGGCATTTTCAGTCAGGCACTGTTGAACATCCTACATCTACGTGCAGCCCTGAAATAAACTTGGTGATGTTGAGTTGGCAGTTTGGCTGCATTGTGAATTTGTTTTTATGCAGTCTCGTATTAAAAACTGTCTTGTTAATGAGTATTTTAAATGTAGGCACACCATGAGATAGTTAGCTATCCCTCTTGGGCTTTGTTGTCACGTAGCGTACAGTAAATTTTCATTTTGGGGCAACGCGTAACGTTTTAGCCAACTTTTTTTTGCTAATTTGTATTTTTTACGACGTTGTTTTGATTTTTATTTGCTCTTTGGAGGATAAATGCAACTGTTGTCATGACACTGAGGAGAGGTGAGTAGACTTAATTATTCATATTTGCTTCTTGTTCATATAATGAGTCAGATAAACATTAGTGGAAGTTAAATTATAACAAAGTAAACACGTGCTACATGGTGTCTTTGGGCACTGCTGCCTCAAGATTCCCAGCTCACTAAAAATCATGTCTTCCATAGTAAACGTGGTTATCCTTATACTACTGGCTGTTGCCTTCTTGATCATAGTTCAACGAAATCTTCTCAACCTCAGCGACTTCTTACACAAAGAAAATGCAGGTATGTTTATGTGCTGCAGATGGATTAATTCCCCTCACACGCGGTGATGATAATCAGCCAAATATGCGCATATGTCATTGATGTGATTGTTTCCACCCAGATGCCAGAATGATTCTTCCCTTTGAGTCAGAGTTGTCTCCAAATACTAGACTCGATCTGGACAGGAAAGGGGAGGAAATCCCGGCTCTCATCACTGCTTCAGAGGACAGACTTGGAGCTGTGATTGCTGCAATGAACAGTGTTTACCAGAACAGCAAAGCCAATGTGATCTTCACCATTGTGACCACAAATGACACAGCCGATCATCTCAAGTAAACACTTCACACAGTTATTTATAAATGTGATTTAAGTAACTTGGTTTAACACATTTATTTATATTTTACCTACAGGTTGTGGCTGAGTCGGACAAAATTAAAGAATGTCAAACATAAAATCATTGTTTTTAACCCAGACCTTCTCAGCGGGAAGATATCAAAAGATCCAAAGGTGGCAGAGAGTTCCACACCGGTGAGAGTGATAAGTCCTCCACAACCAAATAAAAACAACTCATTCTGCTGTTGTTAATACTTCCAAATTTAATTATATTGTGTATTTTAAGTTGACTTTTGCTAGGTTTTACCTGCCTTTATTCATACCTGAAGCAGAAAAGGCCATCTACTTGGATGATGATGTCATTGTGCAAGGTAAGTATCTGCCTCAAAGGATGACAAACCATAAACTATTTAAAGTTACTATATTTATTTTATGTTGGAATTTAGGAGACATTCAAGAGCTGTATGAGACCAACCTGAAAGCAGGACATGCAGCTGCCTTCTCTGATGACTGTGACTCCACATTGGCTAAGGGCATCATTAGAGGAGCTGGGAACCAGGTGATCAAGTCTCACAAAACCTGTTTAGTTGTCTGCGCAAAAAGTATGTTGTACAAGTTAACGACTAATTGCATGAATTTTAAAAAAACAGAACAACTATATAGGTTTCCTCGACTTTAAGAAGGAAGCGATTAAGAAACTTGGGATGAGGGCCAATACTTGCTCGTTTAACCCGGGGGTCGTTATCGCAAACCTGACGGAATGGAAGAACCAAAACATCACCCAGCAGCTGGAGCACTGGATGGAGCTCAACATTCAGTAAGTAACTACACAAGTGAGAAAAGAGGCTTTCTTTAGGAGCACTAAAAGAGAAATCAGAATCAACTCTGCAAAAATGGAAGAAAACAACTGTTTTTCTTTTTCCAGGGAGGATCTGTACAGTAAAACTCTCGCAGAAAGCATCACTACTCCTCCACTCCTCATTGTTTTTTATAAACATCACTCCTCCATCGACCCTTTGTGGCACGTGAGACACCTTGGTAAGTTCTGGATTAGTATTGATTTTAAAGAAACTGTTATCTGTTTGGAACATTACAGATTCCTAAGATACTGCACCTCTTGTGCATGTGACTAGACTTTTAAAGAAATATTTATGAACAAACATTCTGGGATTAAAATCAAATGTTTGGATAACTGGAGTAATTATATTATTGTATCTTTCTGATAATAAACATGTTTGGCTTTGAGATTCAGGTTAAACAAATAAAAAAAAGCTCAAATAAATGTTTGACATCCTTGCCTGTTTATGCGAAAGGGTAAGATTGCTGCTAACAGTAAAACAATGAAATCATTTCAGGTACCACAGGTGCTGGAAACCGCTATTCCCCCCAGTTTGTGAGAGCTGCCAAACTCCTCCATTGGAACGGACATTATAAGCCCTGGGGGAGAGTGTCCTCCTTCCCTGAAGTGTGGGACAGATGGTTCATTCCCGACCCCACAGGAAAGTTTCATCCTGTAAGAAGGCTCCAGGAACCCTTGGACCAACTCCGTCCCAGCCTCAAGAGTAGGGTTGGGCATTAAGCATAGAGTATTAATTGGAATCGGGACTAATTTTGATTCCCTGTCTGATCAATGCCTTTCAGAGGCGATCGTGCCGCCTGTCTGTCACTCCTACTTTGTAGCTGGCAGAGACCTGAGTGCAGCATCGCATCCCCTCTCAGAGAGGAACTAAGGTCTTAATTCTTGATTTGTCATGTTTTGGATCTGTGGACATTCTTACATTACCATGAAAACAGATATGGTCTTTTAATTATTTTCCGTCACTTGCTAATGTTTATTAAAATTATGATGAACCACTGAAAGGAAACATTTTTACGATCAGTTGCTTTAAAAACACGTTTTCATCGTGTACGCCAGAGTTTTACCTTCACTGGCTGTTCTGAAACAGGGTTCTGAAACCTTTTGTGTTTACAATTCTGTCTTCTAAAGGATTTTTTATAGTGATTAAAAAAGCCTTTTCAAAATTTGAGCTCAAACACAGATGGTTATTTTTGGATACTGGTGTTCAACTTTAACCTCTATTATTACTTCATCTTAGCTGCAGTGGAAAGATGATCTTGTCATTATTCCCATGAGCAGCAGCCTTCATGACTTCTCAAAACCCACAAACGGAAGGATTTGGATTTTTAAAACAAGCTTTGAAACGTTTAATGGAAACACACTACAGTTTTAAATAGATTCAATCCTCTTAGAGAAGAAAATTTACAGAAAAACAAAATGTTTACTTCAGGAACATTTTCTATCGCTTCAGGTTGTCAGTAAAGGTGTTTCGTGTTTGTGTGATGATGGTAAATAATTTCATATTTTAATTTAGCAAAAGTTTCCGTAAGTCTAACCCTGATCCAAGTCATCATACGCTTTGTTGTTGAACAGTGGATTTGAACCTTGAGCACACCATTACCCAAACCTCACTGCGGCGAACACTAAACACTAGCAAAAATGTCACATGCAGTCTTTTTTTACATGGTCTTGCTGTTGTAAATGTTTTTGTACAATAAAGCAATTTAAAAGGTTTTTCTTGTCTCCTCAATTCAACAACAGCACCAGGAAGCAAACTTATAGACCTGGGGGTATGGTTAGAGCAAGTATGGTGACAACTTTCACACAAACTCCCATCTCCCATTATGTATAGTGGATGGACACTAGCGAGGTTTCATGTGTGCAGATGTCCATTCTGTGTCCAGAGAGGAGACGGTGGGGAACTCCACATGGTTTCTGTCTCTGTAGAGACCAACGTCTGTGGGTGGAGTACAACAAAAACACGAGGTAGGGGACATACCGGACTAGATGCTGAAAGTAAACCACCAAAAGGCCAGTTTTCTAGCTCTTTGGGACATTCCTGTCAAGTTTCATCCTTCAAAGACAGGTGTAGGTCAGTCTGCATCAGAGGCCCAAGGCATCACTTTCAGGATGGGGTTTCTGTACTGCACAGCCAGAGATGAGTGTGATTATCTCCACTGTGTCCATAAAGCCAAGAGCATAAGGCCCAGGGTGAGGTAATCAACGGTGAGATGTGCATATATTTGGAGGAACTATAGAGGAATATGTTTGTCCTCATGCAAGGAAGGTTAAAGCTGAAATTCTACAAAAAAAATTTTTTTTTAATTCTTGTAAGAGGCGAGGATTCACACGTGTATTCATGCAGTAACTCAAAGCCATTTACCCATGGTCATGTTGAAGTCCCTGCTCTGTAACTAACTTCAAGTCAAGTTTTTCTCCTAACTTCGCTCTAGAGATGTTTAACATCTGACACCCAGAGGAACACACACACCTGGTACCTTTTTTTTTTTTTTTACAAAACTAAAAAGTCACAAAGAGGCAACCTGGTTATGAGTACAGCCCTAAAACGGTCCAGTCATGTTTGTAAAATCACAAATCCAACTAATGTTTTGTAAAATTGTGAATAAATGTCAAAAAGCACGTTTTCCTCCTGATTTATTACATCTTTGTACAGTTTCTGAATTTAGATTTGACAAGTTCAAACACGGTAAATCTGTTTAAAATGGACATTTACACAACCACTTAATAATGACCGGAACAGACATCTCAGTAAAAACTTCCAGGGTTAAAGTTGAGGCCCTTTAAATTCATCCTGTTCAGGTATGTACAGTCTATGGTCATGACTGAGGACATGGCTTAGTGTGACCGCATTCCCAGAGCAGGATGAGTAAATGATGCACGTACGCGCGCACACACACACACACACACACACACACACACACACACACACACACACACACACACACACACACACACACACACACACACACACACACACACACACACACACACACACACACACACACACACACACACACTGGTAGAAACAGCAACATTTTAGAGATTTTAGGGCTGATTTCTATCACGCGGTGTCTGATTCAGCATGACTCCTGCCTGCTTCATCTTCTCCCACTGAAGCGTTTAGGCCAGAGTTAAAGACAAAACTTCTTTATTTCCTCCTCTCAGGTGATGCCAACAGAACCAAAGTCATAGCACATCACATAATGGAAAAGCGCCATCAGAAAATTCAGACATGAATAATAAAATCAGTTCATTTAAAATCTGTGTTGAAGTCATAGGCGTCGTCTGTGCTGACTGTAGAGAGGCTGATGTCGACGGGGACGGGCTGAAATTTCACCCGTTTCTCTGCAAACAAAAGGCAGAAAATCAGTTTATTTATTAAGGAAACTGTATTCTACAAACGTACCTTTGTGTGAAGTTTTCTGGGGGTTCTCAAGCGGCTGCGCTTCAGGCGAGTCCTGGTGAGGTTGTTCAAGCTGCAACAACAACAGACGATTCATCCTCCTCATTTCCGTCACGCACCCAGTTACAGGAGCCCCACTAACTCAGCCGGATCAGAGTTGGATTAGAAGTCTTCACTAACAAATCAAGACTAACAGTTTGTCCTCATTTCCAGGAGATTTTAAGCAGCTGAACAGTTAAAACATGTTTTCACCTCTACATCCTTGTTCTGCTCTGCAGCTATGGGTTGATCTTCAGACACCTCGGCCACACTCAGCAGACCAGCTGTTGGGCCTGTAGAGTGAAAACTTATGCTGCTGGCCAGGTTTGGAAACTTAACACCTTCATAGGAAATAAACAGAAACACAGAAAGGATCAGAAGAAGCTTCTGGCGCTCATATAACTCATAATAACTGAAAATGCTGCCTAAGAATTTGGAGAGGAAAAAGCCACCGATACCTTTCAGCGTTTCCTCATTTCCCGCTTTTATCCTGCTGAGATCCCAGCCGCTGAACATTTTAGCCACCACGGTGTCAGACACGTAAGTGGGGGGGCTGTGGTTGCCCGGAACCTTACAGTGGTAGCTTAGTTTGGCTCTGAGGAGACACCAAACGATAGTTCTGGGATTAAAAGTCAAGACAGAAGCCAAATCTGTGACACAGCGTAGCTGCAGCCAGCGTTCGGATCAGAGTTGGATTACAAGTCTTCAAAATCAAATCCAGATGTGCGTTTTGTCTTCATGTCCACACCGACATCCTGCTCATCCCCACAAAGCATAAATAAAAAACCCTCACCCCGTCCAGTCGTCAAGGAAAGTGCTAGCCGCCTGCTCCGTATTAGGAACGCCACCCTTCTGCAGGAACCCTCGTTTCTTAGCCAACTGAGTCAAAAACTCCAGGGAATTTTTGAAGTCTGGAACGTTGTACTGAAGCATGATCTACAAGAAACAACTACGTCACAACAGGCACCAAAATCAGCCCAAGCCTGCTGAAGTGAGAGCGCTTCCCACCTGGCTACTGTTGCACTCCTTCAGCAGCGTCCTGACAGCATCAAGCTTGCTCAGGTGACCATCCTCCACCTGCAGGCTCCTCAGAGTCATGGAAACGGCAGGATTCGACAGTGACGCCACAATCCCTGGGCTGTCCATCACCTTCAGATTCCTTAGGATGTGCACGTCCTGCATATGTCTGACCGGCAGAAAGAAAATGTAATACACAATGGGGAAAGAACACATTTTATAAACACATACAATCTAATTTCCTTTTACTTACTTCGTAGTGCCTCTGACAGTCCCAACATTACACGCCAGCATTCCTTTCAAGCTGTTAATGAGGCTGCTCTTCCCTACATTAGGAAAACCTGCAAGAGGAGGAAAAAACAGATGATCTCAAACTCTGAACAAACACCAAAACTTGCAGAAAACATGAAGATGAGATAAAATACAACCGACTCACCGACTACACCAACTTTGAGAGCAGCTTCACTTTGTCTCTCAGCAGCTAAACTGGTCAGAATCTCAATGAGACAAGAGTTTCCAAAACAGGCTGCTCCTCTGGACTTGTCCAGGACATCATTGGAGGGTTTAAATCTGCTCTTTTTGGCTTGCTGGTAAACAAAAAACAGGATTAAATGAAATCTGCGTCTAAAAAGCAGCCTAAGCTTGCACCTACAGGCACTTTTATTACAAGATAATCTTCTAATTCTATTTTAATGATCCACAAACGCACACATCAGCCCCGCTTCCATCAGAGTGACATAAATGTGCAGTTTGTTAATTACTCTTGGAGGCGTAACCTGTTACAACAGCATGGTGCAAGCTGTTCAACCTTCTCAGTCCTCCGTCGTCAGTAAAACTAAACATTTGCACATTTTCGCCTGGATTTAAAAAAAACAAAAACAATCTTTAGCATTTAAAAAGCACCTCTTACCACAGTTTTGTGTTGGATCTGCGTCGACGCTTTGAATGCCACAACAGGAAGCTCTTTTTGCAAACACTCCATCCACGCCTCCACGTTCTCCTTTGGAACCAAATCTGCAAATGAGAAGGTGAAAAATACAGAAAACCTCACCACAAACAGAAAACTTGTACGGACTTCAACAGCTGCAGGTTAGCGGTGTCCACTTGCCTATTTTGTTTAAAACTAGAAGTAATTTCTTGTTGCCCGAGAGCAGCACAGCCTCCTCCAGCTGTGGACACCTGCAGCCCAACGGATCTCGAGCATCAAGGACTTCTATCACTACATCAGCGGCATCAATTGTCTACAACAGATTTTAAAAAATCAACCCTTAATAAACAAATTTACTTCCTTGTAAAATGAATTGAATGAAGTTATTTTACCTTTTTTATTTGAGAGCAGAGAAAATGTTTCGAGTTCTTGTTTTGAGTTACTTGTTTCTCTGAACGATTTGATGTTTTATCCTGAATAAATAAAATAAAAGACAGACATGTTGGTCAAGAATGATGAAGCATAAAATAAAAAATAAAACCCTGTTAAACCCATTGTAATAGTTTATAAACTTGGGGTTTCCAGCCTGAAATCCTTACTCCCGTGTTTCTAAATGAGTTTAGGAGCCATCTACTCTTGTGCAAATCTAAGTTTTTACTGAACCTAAAAGAATTGTTGGCAAAAGTATGCACAGAGTTCACAAATCCCAGTGGTTTGTGAATTTGAGAGCACTGATTAGATTATCTAAGAGTTTAAAACTGAGAAAACTCATTTTCAAAGAGCTCCACTTCATTTTCTCAGCCGACATTAGTCAGATTTTGTTTTTAAGAACCAGTTGGATCAGATGGCCCTTTACCACTCGCGTCTTCTTGGCATCAGGTTCTGATTCTGTAGTTGCAGCAGCCTCCTTCTCCTTTTTCCTTTTCTGGGCTCGCTCCACTTTTTTGGCTTGTCGTTTTCTTTCATTTTCTTCTTCAATCTAAAAATAAAAACTCCTTAAGGCTCAGAGGACAAAGACCATTGTAAGCAGTGCAAAGATCCCTTAAGCATCAGCCTTCAGAAGCTCTCTGTAGATAAAATGTGATGATGCCTAAGTGACTGAAGGACCTACCTGGAGCCTCCTCTGCTCTGCCTCTCTGAGGACCTCCTCCTTGAAAGGAGCACTGTTGGGAACTCCGAGATCTTTCTTCACCGGTTTTTTAACTCCTTTCTTCTTAGCTTCTTTTCTAAGTTTTTTGTGATGCTCTCGAACCTAAGTCAGACCACCAAGTGAATCTCAATTACCACAGGGGCCTTTCATAGTAAGTAAAAATGACGACACCACTTGCCTTTTTCTGTATTTTGTAACGTTTGGAACAAGACATCCGTTTGCTCGCTTTCTTTAACTCTGAAGGAAGACATCAGACAGCGTTAGCTTAGAGGACAACAACAGAAGCTGCTGTTCGCTAAACCGCGTACAAATGGTAAAGAACTAACATATAAACGCTCATAAAACAAATATTTACACGCCTAAACCTTAATTAACAACTAAACTTACTTGGTCGCCTCATGATGAACCGCTGAGACCGACAACGTGACTATTGCAGTGTCGCACGTGGAAGTCTATCTAGGCAGGTCAGATGTTTAATTTCCGGTTTTTCTACCAGAAAGTTTCGCCACCTGCTGGTGGGGAGGTGTATTACAACCTTAGCTTTTTTTTACAGGCACTTCCATGTATGATAGTTGATAATAAAGTACAGTCAAACTAATAAAACTTGGAATAACCAGTTTTATAACTCACCTGAAAATATGACCATCATTATTTTTATGCAGTTTTAAACCAGGATATCCCATGATATGAACATCAGATCAAGATGGCACACTATTAAAAATTACCAGCTAAATATTTAACATTCACATGAGAATGCACAAGATAATACAAGTTTTATTCCAAAGGTCAGTTGTTTAAATCCATCAACAGCTGCTGCATTATTCAGTCACTTAATTCTTCAGAAGAGCTTCCAACACTCTCAAAAGCAGGGTTAGTTGTAGGGGGGTTCAGGGTGGGCCAGTCAGAGACCCTGACAGCAAATCTGGGCCACCCTGCTGAGGTATATAAACCTGAGGTATACATTAGTTTTAGCTTAACTCTGATCTATTCTAGTTAAAAGGTCACCCCATCCATCCATTTTTGGCTGCTTATCTGGGGTTGGGTCGCGGGGGCAGTGGCCTAAGTATGGAGGTCCAGACTTCCCTTTCCCCAGCCACTTGGGCCAGCTCCTCCAGGGGGATTCTAAGGAGTTTCCTGGCCAGCCGTGAGACCAGCGTGTCCTGAGTCTTCCTTTAGGCCTTCTCCCAGTTGGACTTGTCTGGAAAACCTCATCAGGAAGGCATCCAGGAGGCATCCTGACCAGATGTTTGAGCCACCTCAACTGGCTCCTCTCGATGTGGAGGAGCAGCGGGTCTACTCTGAGCCCTTCCCAGATGACTGAGGTTTTCACCCTATCTCCAAGGGAGAGCCCAGCCACCCTGTGGAGAAAACTCATTTCGGCCGCTTGTATCCATGATCTTGTTCTTTCAGTCACTACCCAAAGCTCATGACCATAGGTGAGGGTAGTAACGTAGATTGACCGGTAAATTGAGAGCTTTGACTTCCGTCTCTCTCTTCACCACGACAGATCGGTACAGCGCCCACATCACTGCAGACGCGGCACCAATCTGCCTATCAATCTCACTCTCCATTTTTCCCTCACTTATGAACAAGACACAGAGATCCTTTAACTCCTCCACTTGAGGCAGGACCTTGTCTCTACCCTTTTCCGATTTAAGACCATGGTCTCAGATTTAGAGGAGCTGATTCTTATCCCAGCCACTTCACACTCGGCTGCAAACCGCTCCAGCGCACGCTGGAGATCACTGTCCAATGAAGCAAACAGGACCACATCATCAGCAAAAACACAGAGACCTGATCCTTAGGCCACCAAAACAGATCCCTTCAACACCTTGGCTGCACCTAGAAATCCTGTCCATAAAAGTTATGAACAGAATCGCTGATGTAACGTCCAGCAATGGTCAGTTTTCACCTAAAAACTGACCTACATGCCACCGGTCACTGGCAGACATAAATTCCATTCTCTAAGGTGGATTTTACATTCTACCTTCCAACAAGCAACAAGGTTCTGCAAACCTTGTTGACATTTCAGGAGGAACACGATGTCAGCCTGTGTTCCCAAACAAAGCCTTCTTCTGATAACACCGCAGGATTCCTCATGCCTCTGAATAAAGTGACTATTTTCAGCTCATATGAGTTAATCAATCGTGAAATGGAATGAACAAATGTCATATGAAATGATCAATAATCTTTTGATTAATCTGTGCTTGAATTACTGAAGTTTGAAATGAATATTATTATGGTATGATTAGTAATTGTAGATTTAACAAGTGAATCATTATCCACACTCAGACACAAGGTTCATTAGAGATAAATTAAAGTTCAGTTAAACATCATAACACATAGATATTTTCTTAGCCACAAATCAGAACATCCTGTATCTGAAAGAAGGCGTGATGTTCTGAGGTTTGCTTGTTAACACCCCTTAACATGGCACGTCCCAGTTGGCCAATAAATCATAATATGAGAATATTAGAACAGAGCTCACTAGATGGTGAGTCAGTTCTAGAGAAAGCTACGGACAGGCCATCCAAAGCGAACCCTCTTTAACCCAAAGCTTTCGACAAGCTAAAAGCTGCCTACAGCTGACACAGCAAAATGGTTCCTTCAGCTATTCAGAAACAGCTGTTCTAGATGCAAACGATGTCACGTATCTGTTGTGATCCGGGAGACGACTCTGGACCAACCTGGTCGTACTGTGGTCTTTTCTACAAACTTTGGTACCTTGGGGTCACCTGACCCCCCCCGACATCTCGGATCCGAAAGGGAATCTCCTCAGGGGTACGTAGAACACAGTCAGATTGCGTCTGATGACATTTTGATAAGAACCAACTTCATAGTTTATGGCAAACCAAATTCTTTGAACACCTAGAACTCAGTTCTTCTAGATGCAAGGTTCTGATAAACACACATCATTAAATCACCATACATCACATCACATCCACTTAGATTCATCCATCACAGTCGTCCTATTTAACTTGTCTTGTTTTTAATTTGTTTAGAAAATAAATTTCTTGCTTTTTATAGACCTGACTCTGTCTGAATTGAGATGAAGTGTGTCGGATCCCTGAAAAAGCAAAGAATCCTAGAATCTTCTGATGAAACATCCGAAGACCAAGCGGGTCATAAGTAAAGGTAATATATTAAGCTTAAAAGCACAATATTTACCCTCTACATATAATGGCAAGCAAGCCTATCTTGTTCAAATCAATAAACACTTTGTGCTATTTCTGACTCTTTAAACGGTTGTTTAACTGCTCTCTTTTCCTCTCCCAAGCCGACGGCCTGGGGAGGTTTTATCTTGAAGAGTGAGCGAAAGGACAGCCTTGGCGGAGTCCAACTCTCACCGGAAACAAGCTCGACTTACTGCCGGCAATGGGACCAAGCTATGACACCGGTCATACAGGGACCTAACAGCCCTTATCAAAGGGCTTGGTACCCCATACTATTGGAGTATCCCCCATAGGGACCCCCGGGGGACGCGGTCAAACACCTTCTCCAAATCCACAAAACACTTGTAGATTGGTTGGGCGAACTCCCATGCACCCTCCAGGATCCCCCTAAGGGTATTGATTACTATTGCCAAGTTGTGCTTTTGCAACCAAGTAATCCAATTAATCTTTGCCAAAAACTTTACATTTGATCAATTCAGTTCCTTTTATCCTGATGCGGCAAAGTCTAATGAGAGCAACAGCAACCCACCATTATCAGCTGTGCTGCCTGGTGGTGGCAGTATTAGGCTGCATTAAGGTTTGAGCTGAATCCAAGACTTCCATTAACGTGGAAGACACCTGAAAAGTTCCAAGAATAGACAATATTCTCACAATCTGACAAATCATTTTTATAAAAATAATTACAAAATGTGACTTTCTAAGCTAAAATTCTATTAACGTTGTTGCATGAACGAAATGGTTTGAGCAAAAATGCTGTTTCTTTTTAAGTTGAGTATGTATTGGTTAGCATTCTGTAAAGCCTCGTGGATCATGAATATTTATAGATTTTAATCCAACATTTGAAGCTGCTCTAACTGTATGAAAAATGTGCACTTTATTACTGATGTCATTTCTGAAAATGATAGAATTGAGTTGAAGATTTAATTTGTAAAACTAAAATGATGCATTGATTTCTGAGTAAGCTTGTTGATAAGCTGTAAATATGGTTTTAGCTTAAAAAATGGATTTATATTATATTTTAGGGCAACATAGTTCTATGACATCTGATGGAACAGCCCACAGAACATAAAAGTCTTACGCAAAAGTCATAGACAGCATTCAAATGCAAATGCTGCAATTAAAACTCAACTCCACTCCTAGTTTACTGGTTCCAATAACAAAAATGAATGAAGCAACAGCCAAGACTAGCTAATAAAACAGCTATTGAGGTAGTTGCCCAGATGTGTTTGTGCCTACATGATTCTGCAAACGAAAATTAATGTTCATTTTAATCTGATGAATTCAGATCAGGATTTGTTTTAACTTTAAAAGGTAGTATTTGTGTGCACATCATGTGACTTTGCACCAAATAGAAACTTGAACATTTAAATTTCATCTAAACATCAAATACAATTTAGCTCCTGATCAAACTGAAGCATTTTGTCATGACTCCTCTGTGATCTGTCTCATGACAGGAAAGACAACCAGCTAGCAAGCTTCTTTTGCTGTTATCAAAACATTTTTTTCACCAATGGGATTGCATCTGTTTATTTAATGAATGTGTTATAATAAAATAAACACATTTAATCTCTGACACAGGAGTCACAAATGGAAAACATCGAGAAAAATGATGCAAGGCTACAAAAAATGAATGCTGGCTACAAAGAGATGCAAAATAGCTATAAGCAAACACAAAATAACTACAAAAAGATGCAAAATATGTGCAGTTGGGCATGCAAAACACACTCAAAGAGATGGCAAGTGATAAACATGTTCAAACTGCACGTGATGCAAGATAACAGTGATAAAAGGCAACTTATTAAGATTATGAGTGCATTAATTGTCTTTATTTGAAAATTTGTTGCAAGAACTGTCAAAATATTCTCTTATCTTCAAATACACAAAAGGAGAGTGCTGCAAGGTGTATGTAACAATTTTTGAAGAAAAGCACACTGTAATAATTCATGGTGCATTTAGTGTCAACCACAACATTAGGCTAAGTGTCAAAAAGGCCTGAGTCCATGTGAGCACCTGTGTGCTTGTGTATGTAAGGTTGTTGTGTTCAATAGTAAGTGTGAGGGGCCACAGACCTTCATCCAAAGATCCATTGATGATCCCAAGATCTTCCTCGGAGCATGGGGTGGGAGACCCCTGCCGGCGCAACCCCTCACCTCGGGATCATCCAGGGGGTTGGGCAACCAGCAGCCTTGCCAGAGGTCCAAGAGATAATAACAGCAATCCCCCATGCCCACCCACAGCTGCGCCCTCCAGGGCAGGCCAAGCTCAGAACTCAGCAGCCTGGGACCTAAGGGACTAACCCTGGTGGAGACCCAACAGAGCCCAGGGGCCTGGAACCCCACCAGGCAGCCACCGGGAGCAAGCCGGCAGATACCAAAAAAATTCCAGCCCCAGACACAAAAGCTGCAAATTCGCAGGCAGAACGAGGCAGCACTCACCAGCAAGAAATGTGGTAGCAGGAGGCTTCCAAGCATACAGGTCGGGACCCAATCCTCCCAGGCCCAGCCCAGACCCACATCTACCAATTCTGCCTTTCTAACGTTTTCAATTTCACTTTCCAATTTTTAAAATTTTCGCTTTTTAATGATAAAATGTTACATAGCCTTTTTATTTTTTGTTCTTGTAAAGCACCTTATGATTTTTATCTTGAGAGGCGCTATATAAAAATGTGTTTCTTCAAAAAATTAAAAATGACCTATTGTCAAAAATAAGATTGTGTTTAAAAAATCATAAACAAATGACAGAAATGGTATCGCAGGTTATTTTTCCTAGACAAAAAAATATGACACCTCGAAAAGTTTGATTTCAATCCAAAATCAACTTGTCAAATATATTTAACATCTTTCACCAAATGACTAGTTACGTTTCCAAATCATACCTAATGGAATTTCAGGTTCATATTTTTAGGATTAGATTTATCCAATCTAAAAAATCTCTAGAAGTATAATATTTGCTTAGTTATTTGCTCGCTAAAGCCTCCCTAATGATTATATGATAACTCGGCTTTCCTCAAATGACTGCGACTTTACCTGGCGGTTACAGCTCGGGCGCTGATTGGTCCTCTTGGCGTCCTGCCCTAGGGTGACGTCAGGGGCAGTACTGCTGGTGAGGACGTTGCCTCCAACAGTGACCAATCCATCGAGAGCGCTCCGAGAAGCGGGTTTCGGTCCGACAACCGGATCTCACAGACCGAACATTTTCAGGTAAGGAGTCCTGCTGCGATGCTCTCATGACACAAACTTTAACCGTGACTCCCTACGGTCAGAGGGGCGTGGCTTATGCCCGGGATTTTCTTTTCTTTTCCTCCCCTCACGCGCAGCATTTAACGGGCATCTGTTTTCGGCAACAAGCAGGGCTTGTCCAAGTAGTTTGTTTGGAGGAAGATGATGAGTTTAACGGTAAGTCGCTTTGTGGGAGGAAACGAAAGCCGAGAGTCGGTTCATGTGGTGGTTTCATTCACGTAGAGAGGACCTTCATGTGTAACAGAAGCTTCAAAGAGCACGCGACAATGAAGCCAGCGCTGCAAGAGTGCTGCCCATTTAAACTCTTTAATCCCGGCATCTATAAATAACGGAGGCGTTTGAAGAGCCCTGATGGTGTCATTAATGTTTAAAAGGGAAACGCCGCGCTGGTTCTCACGGTAAACTGTCCAAAGAGCCTCAAGCCTCCAGCTCTTCCTACATGTACTGTTCCCTCTCCTCGTATACCCCCCCTCACACAAACTTCTTTATTGGAAAAATGACCAATTGTTAAGCACACAATGATTAAGTGAGCATTAATAACAAAGCTGATCAGTCCCTCATGGACATTTTTCATAATAAATGCCTATAGGCCTTATATTGGCACCAGAAGCTATTAAAATTTGCTTTTGTGAATCAAATCACAAATAATGATGGAAGAGATCAGAGTTCATGAATGGTGAGTCACAAACTTCTTTTTTTCTGTGTTTTTGTGCTACAAAACACTTGCTTGAGTAAAAGCACTCACCCACTTCACTCACCCACTTCTGTGGAGGCCTTGACGTTTTCAGATCAGCAGTTTGACCTTATGAGTCATGCTTTTTTATTGTTGTATGAAATTACGTGAATGGAATTCTGTCTTGTCAGCTGTTTAAAGCTCAATGTGCATTTTTTTCATACTGTGCATATCAGATCTGGTCTAGGTATTCCAGAGAAACATGAGACTTCCACAGATAATGAAATCTGATCTGAAAAGCAGGAAGCTGGTTGTAAAAATAAAAAAGAGCACAACTTTTGTTGTAAGGCCAGATCTTAGACTGATTATCTGGATTCTGACATTTAACCATTTCCTTTAGTCTGCACTGCACTGCGGGGAGGAGGGGGGGGGGGGGGCTTTCTCCAGCAGTCTATGTGCATGCAGACAGGGTACAACCTGGACAGGTTGCCAGTCCATCGCAGCAACACAGAGACACACAAGACAAACAACCAAGCATGCACACACTCACACTTAATGATGGAGAGATGATTAACCTGATAGTCATGTTTTTGGACTGTGGGAGGAAGAGACCCTACACTTGCACAGGGAGGACATGCAAACTCCATGCAGAAAGACCCTGGGATTCGAACCCAGGACTTTCTTGCTGCAAGGCAACAGTTCTGCACCACTGTGCAGCCCATGTGATTGGTCATTCACAGAAAAATATATACATTGCTGCTATGAATGCAAAGAAAAGCTGCTACAGGAGCCCAGATGTCCAAGCAGGGAGTCTGTGCGCCATAACATTTGGTCCCCCCCCCCCAGGATGTTTGGAAATTAAACTTTAAAAAAAATGTTGCTAGAAGCTGTGCCACAGACCATGTGGGGGTCTTAATAGATAAAAATGTTAGCGTATTTGCTGCCCTGCTTTATGTACTGCATAATGTTTTATCCCATTCTGCCATCTTTACTTGCTCTGACCTTTTAAAAACATCACCAGAACAGTGCAAAATGCACATCATTTGGATGGCAAGATGAAATAAAAGCATGTTTCAAATGCAGAACATATCAAAAATAGCCTTTTGAGGTCATTTGGAGAAAGAATCAAAAGTGAAATAAAACATTTGATTAACTGCACAGTAACTCATGCATATTAATATTTATTTTTAGTGTCAACAATATTAGAATCATGTAAACTTTAATTCACAAAACATCTGCTGCATGTTTCATCCAATCAGTGCTGCAAGAGTGTTTTGATTGCTAATTTTTTTATAGCTAACATTAATTAAGTGCTACTACTACCAATAAAAAGATCTGCTGATATTTTTTTCTAGTGATCTTCCCCCCAAAAAGGCCAGGCCAAAGAGTTATCCTCCTAACTGAACTTTGTTTTTATTACAGAATCTTTTCTTTTGTGAAAAATGCATTTTATTGTGGAACAGCATCTTTTTGCTTCTGGCTTGTTTAGCATGCCTCAATCTATGAATGAGTAATTATATCATCATTCCAGTTATTTGTGGCTATGTTGCTGATTAATCATGATAGAATGGGCTTTTTGGTAGGAGGGAGGCTAAATAGTTCTTCAGCTAGAGGCTGTTTTAAAGGTCAGCTGTGTTCATAAATAAAGCTCAGGAAATAAAGATTTTACTGAAGTCATCTAAAAAACTTGCAGCTGGATTGCACTTCTTTGATACATCTTTGTAATGTGAAGATCACTTTGCAGCTTGGCAGAAGAATTCCTCGCAGTTTGGGGCTGTGCCATGGATAAGCTGTTGAAGTTGAGCCCAAATCAATAATTGTCTGTGTTAAAAGACGAGCGTTTATCAGATGTGTTAGTTTATTATCAGTTTAGAAAAAAAGGGAACAAACCTGTTCAGACATGCCGATGTTTCACAGTAGTAAAATAAACAAGTAGACATGGTTTTCTCAGGTTTTGAGTTTGTGTGCCAATGTGTGTAATGTTGAATGTTTTTGCAGCGACTCAGCCTTGTAACTTCATGTCGGTTTGTCACGTTTAATTGTCGTTACATGTATAAGTGTGTGTTTCTTCTGTCCAATGCTCATCACAGGAATGGGAAACCAGTGAGTACTGCGACTCTCTCTGTATAAAATTTAAAAAAGAAGGGGTGAATGCTGCATGTCACCTTCGACATAGTGTGGCTTCTTCAGCCCTGTCGCTTTTTCAGGTTGTTCAAGCAGCCTGTCTTCACCCAGTGGCCAAACGTCCTGTCCTCAGTGGACACCAGAGACTTCTTTGGCCCTCTGCTCATTTAATTTCTGCATGTGTCTTTCCTCTGCAAACCCTCGTTTTAAGCTTTGCCCTTGTGAAACATGAACCTCAGTCTGCTGTTTATAGCATTTGTCTGTTAAAAATAACAGACCCCTTGCTCATTTTCGACTGTAAACATCCAGTGGCTTCAAAAGTGCTGGGAAAACGTTTGTTTTTCATTGGGAGTATGATTTATTTTTCCGTTAAATTCAAAGTGTGTGGGAGGTGCATGTTGCTGGGCATAGATAGCTACCTGTAGAAAATTATTGCAACCTAAAATCGACATTTGACACATTCAGACCTTTTTAAAATAGCTTCCAGTGTCAAACATATTCTGTGCATGAGTTATCATGAATCTTCATCTCCACGTGAGCAAGGTGAGATGCTGCAAACTAGCGGGATGAAAGAGGTGCTTTCACAATTTCTCCGGCTTCACTTTTTTATTTTTTATGTTTTTGGTGGTGACTTCTTTTTTGGCCGGGCATTGTATATTCAAAACTAATTTTTGAACATTTGTTTTTTTTAACAACAGCGAAAGTCAAAGTTTTATTTAGTTAAAATTAGGGCTGGGTGCTATGGGGAAATTTCCTATCACAATATTATTTTATATTATTAAAACTTAGGGGGCTCTTCTGAGAAACATAAATGTATGGTTTGGTCATGTGTGACACATTAAGTAATTGCAAATATATTGTAGCATTTGTGCAACACTTATGTGAATGTCTTGACATTTTTGTGCGGATTTTGTTAGTTCTAATTATGTCTAAATCTGTTTGCAGTTTAGCCTAATTTTATTTACAATTAGCTAAACCCCTTCTTAAGTTTTGTCGCTGTTTCAGACTCAACCTGAGAGGGGTTCTAGATGCTTGTGACAACTATTTGAAAACAAAATTAGTTGCATAGATTTTTAGAACATGTTAAGGATTTTAGCAAAATGAGAGCAAGGCCCTGTGACCTATACAAATGTTTGGCAACTTTGAGGTACTTCATGAGCGTTTTAAAACATTTTGGAACTGTCACAAGTCAGTTAGGTTACCTCAGTTAGTAGTTTTACCTCAATTTGCATTAGAAAGAGAAACAAGAATTTTTTTTACCACAATATAAGATTTAAATTGACTAATCAAAGATACTTTATTAATCCCAGAGGGAAATTAGAGTTTCAGTACACACAATTCAGAGATCAGACATACATGGGCAAGACACATGACAAGAATTGGTGACTGTGGTCATTCGCAACCCCGAGTAGCGCTACCTTAATAGAGATAAGAGGGTTACATGAGGATTGGTTCAGGTGGAAGAAAAACAAAGGCACTTCAGAGCTACCCTCCACCGGGAGGGCAGCTTTGCTATGCAAAAAACAAAAAACACCTCAGACAGATATGCAACAGACTTCAGACAACACAACATAAGTGTCCACTAGGTGGGGTGGTGGGTTGGGACTATCCCCACTTCAGTTCCTGCAGCCACGATGAGCAGCGCATGTCACCTCAGTGTGGATAGGGGGAGGAGCATTGAGGGCTGGAGGGTTGCAGTGACTCTGGAACAATTCAGCGGCCTTCCCGCAGTCCCGCCCAGGCTGGGAAAGGAGACAGAGTTGAGTTGCCATAGCGACAGCACATTCCACATATCTTCTGTAGAAACTAAATGTGAGAATGTAAAATTTGCTACAATTTAATATCTGTCTCTACAAGAATTAAAAGTGGGGTTCTGATCTGTGTTGGTAGAAACTTTACCAACTTTACATGGGACAGCACTCTGCTGACCAGACACAACACTTTTGTGGAGTGGGTAGCTTGCCCTAGGGGATGCTCTTTACCTTCTTAATGAGCATTAGCTATTTTATGTTCCGGTAGCTAATTTAAAGTCTAGCAGTTAGCATTTTCTGTTAGCTGACCGTCAATATAAAAAAAACACTAGAAAACAAAACAATGCGTTCTTTTTTTTTCTTCTTTTGCTGACATCATGGTAGTCTGGAAGTAAAAGTCAAGAGAGTTATGTCTGTGGAGGTGAAGCAAAGAGCTAAACCTGAGTGAACATTAGCCTACATTAAGTTGAGGAAGCTAAAGGAGGAATTGAAATCACAAGTTCATGTGTACCTGACTTTATTTTTACTGCACTTGTCAGTAATTATTGCTTTGCCCAACATTGTCAATCTTTTTGCTTCCTGGTTTTTATTATCAGTTGGTTCATGTTAGTGTTGGCTCGTTGTGAGCGCTAGCTACAGCAGCCTGCTGCAGGGCTGTTTATGCCACTTGCAATTCCACTTTCAACCAGTAGGACAGAGAAGCTGGAAAGTGTTTAGTGTTACTTTAGTTAGTGTTTACAAACATTTTACATGCTCTGTATTGATTCATTTGAAAAAGGCACAATTTCTTCAGGTCTGTGGTTGTGAAAACTTAAACATGTCTGAAACGAAATGCAGCTAACCACTAAGCTAAGCAGCCACCTACAGGTGCTGGCCAGTAAATTAGAATATCATCAAAAGGTTGAAAATATTTCAGTAATTCCATTCAAAACGTGAAACTTGTACATTATATTCATGCAATGCACACAGACCAATGTATTTCCAATGTTCATTACATTTAAATTTGATATTCATAAGTGACAACTAATGAAAACTCCAAATTTGGTATCTCAAAAAATTAGAATATTCTGAAAAGGCTGAATATAGAAGACACCTGCTGCCACTCTAATCAGCTGATTTACTCAAAACACCTGCAAAGGCCTTTAAAAGGTCCCTCAGTCTTGGTTTGAAGGCACCACAATCATGGGGAAGACTTCTGACTTAACAGCTGTCCAAAAGACAATCATTGACACCTTGCACAAGGAGGGCAAGACACAAAAGGTGATTGCTAAAGAAGCTGGCTGTTCGCAGAGCTCTGTGTCCAAGCACATTAACAGACAGGCGAAGGGACGGAAAAAATGTGGTAGAAAAAAGTGTACAAGCTCTAGGGATAACCGCACCCTGCAGAGAATTGTGACGACAAACCCATTCAAAAATGTGGGGGAGATCCACAAAGAGTGGACTGCAGCTGGAGTCAGCGCTTCAAGAACCACCACGAGGAGACTCATGAAAGACATGGGATTCAGGTGTCGCATTCCGTGTGTCAAGCCACTCTTGAACAAGAAACAGCGCAAGAAGCGTCTCGCCTGGGCCAAGGACAAAAAGGACTGGACTGATGCTGAGTGGTCCAAAGTTATGTTTTCTGATGAAAGCAAGTTCTGCATTTCCTTTGGAAATCAAGGACCCAGAGTCTGGAGGAAGAGCGGAGAAGCACAGAATCCACGTTGCATGAGGTCCAGTGTAAAGTTTCCACCGTCAGTGATGGTGTGGGGTGCCATGTCATCTGCCGGTGTTGGCCCACTCTGTTTCCTGAGGTCCAGGGTCAATGCAGCCGTCTACCAGGAAGTTTTAGAGCACTTCATGCTTCCTGCTGCTGACCAACTTTATGGGGATGCAGACTTCACCTTTCAACAGGACTTGGCACCTGCACACAGTGCCAAAACCACCAGCACCTGGTTCAAGGACCATGGTATCCCTGTCCTTGATTGGCCAGCAAACTCGCCTGACCTTAACCCCATAGAAAATCTATGGGGTATTGTGAAGCGGAGGATGCAATACGCTAGACCCAACAATGCAGAGGAGCTGAAGACGACTATCAGAGCAACCTGGGCTCTCATAACACCTGAGCAGTGCCACAGACTGATCGAGTCCATGCCACGCCGCATTACTGCAGTTATTGAGGCAAAAGGAGCCCCGACTAAGTATTGAGTGCTATACATGCACATTCTTTTCATGTTCATTCTTTTCAGTTGGCCAACATTAGAGAAACAAACATTTTTTCATTGGCCTTTAGAATATTCTAATTTTCTGAGATACCAGATTTGATGTTTTCATTGGTTGTCACCTATAAAGATCAAAATTAAACGTAATAAACATCGGAAATACATTGGTCTGTGTGCATTGCATGAATATAATGTACAAGTTTCACGTTTTGAATGGAATTACTGAAATATTTTCAACCTTTTGATGATATTCTAATTTACTGGCCAGCACCTGTATATTTAGACATTAAAGGACCAGCTCTATACCCTTAGGGAGGTCCTGGAGGGTGCGTGGGAATTTGCCCAACCAATCTACATGTGTTTTGTGGATTTGGAGAAGGCGTTTGACGGCGTCCCTCGGGGGGCCCTGTGGGGGGTACTCCGGGAGTATGGGGTACCAGGTCCTCTGATACGGGCTGTTAGGTCCCTGTATGACCGGTGTCAGAGCTTGGTCCGCATTGCCGGCAGTAAGTTGGGCTCGTTCCCAGTGAGAGTTGGACTCCGCCAAGGCTGCCCTTTGTCACCGATTCTGTTCATAACCTTTATGGACAGAATTTCTATTCGCAGCCAAGGTGTGGAGGGCATCCGTTTTGGTGGCGTGAGGATCAGGTCTCTGCTTTTAGCAGATGATGTGGTCCTGTTGGCTTCATCAGAACCTGATCTTCAGCTTTTGCTGGAGCGGTTTGCAGCCGAGTGTGAAGCAGCTGGGATGAGAATCAGCTCCTCTAAATCTGAGACCATGGACTTGATTCGGAAAAGGGTAGAATGCCTTCTCCTGGTCAGGGATGAGGTCCTGTCCCAAGTGGAGGAGTTTAAGTATCTCGGGGTATTGTTCACGAGGGAGGGAAAACTGGAGCGTGAGATCGATAGGCGGATTGATGCTGCATCTGCAGTGATGCCTGCGTTGTACCGGTCTGTCGTGGTGAACGGAGTCAGAAGGTGAAGCTCTCAATTTACCGGTCGATCTACGTTCCTACCCTCGCCTATG